GTAACCCGTTCATTGTACCCTAGAGAAATGACTCGTGGGTAGGAAATCATCCAACGACAATACAGTGGGTGTACAAAAGTGGCTGCACACTGTCAAGAGAAGTCGTAAAATAGTAGTGACTGTAGAGAATACTGACTCCATCAATAGTATGGAAGCCCAGACCTTCTCTGGACCAAGACATCATGGAGGCACTGGGTCAAAGGATGTACCTGGAGACGGCCCCTCTGCCCCCCATCACGGACCTTCAGGTCCAGGAAAACCTGGTGTCAGGATTTAGCAGTGACAGGAAGGAGAAGTCACTGTTTGGGACACAAACTTGTTGTCTGTTGCTAAAGGAAGCCTGTTGCAGAAAGGAAAGGAGCCAAGAGACTTTTCTAGATCCCTTTTTTCTGCCTCTCAGGGTTGGGGGAATTGTCACAGTTATGTTACCTTTTTCCAGGGAGGCAGTGCAGTAAACGGGTCTAGAGCAGAGGCTCCGGGCTAAGTGTGGACACTGGCCCCAATCTTAGTACCTTAGATGGAAGGACAGATGTCCCCTGCGAAGCTCAGTGGCCTCAACTGCCAGCTCCCGGCGTGGTGGTCCAGATTTGATGACTAGCATATGGAAGTGCTTGGAGTTCCCGTGGACCTCCAGGAGCAAGAGTGTGTTACTAAGAGGCTTTTTCTATGAAACAGCCCTGGGCTGAGTCATTTACCTGAATTATTTCATTCAGTCTTTAAAAAACTTTTAGGGGGTCTGGAGCAATAGCATGGCGGGTAGAGCATTTGCTTTGCACACAGCCGACCCAGGTTCGATTCCCAGCATCCCGTATGGTCCCCCAAGCAATGCCAGTAATAATTCCTGAATGCAAAACCAGGAGTAACCCCTGAGCATTGCCGGGTGTGACCCAAAAAAGCAAAATAACATAAAATAAAAAATCTTTAGGGGTGTCGGAGCCATAGTAGAGTGGATAGGGCGCTTGCCTTGCATGTAGCCGACTCAGGTTTGATCCCCGATATACCCCTAGAGTCCCCTATGCACCACCAGGAGTAACTCACAGGTGTAGAGCCAGGAGTAAGTACTGAGCATCGCCAGTTGTGGCCCAGAAACAAAAACAAAACTCTTGGCAGTCCAATTTTTCTTTCCTCCCATTATACAAATGAGCAAAGGGAGGCTTGAGAGATGCGGTTTGTGGCAAAACCAGGCTTTGATCTGGAATCTGCTCTCCGGTGCCCTGGTCCCCTGAGTCTGGTGCCCCATCAGGATGGTGCCCACCTTTGCCTGTCAGGGAAGGCAGTGTCAAGTCAGTGGGTGAGTGGCTGAGATTGGGGTTCACCAGCAGAAAAGGTCTAGGAGCACCTGTACCCCCAACACTGGATGACTTGGGGATCGACAAGAATGAACTCATTGAGGAGAGAGTTCTCCAGGTTGAATTGAATTAAGCCAAAGGTCTGGGCCCGTCTGCCGTGCGCTTGGCAAACAGCCCGCAAGGCGGGAACAGAGCCGAGCACTCTCACTTCACTCTTGGCTCACGGAAGACCAGGGTTCCACCCACAGCCGTTTCTTTCTATTCTTTCCTCTCTTTTCTTTCTGTTGAAAAGGGTTAAAAGCTGCCCTTTCTGATCACAGCCAGGATTGGAGTGAAAAGACTGAATTCCACCTCCAGGGCTCCCAGAGGGGAGGTCACTTTGGGAAGTCTAATGAGACTTTTGGTGGATGAAGGCTCCAGCCAAGGGTCTGTCTGACCCTGATAGGCTGCTACTCAGATGCTGCTGGACAGGAAGTCCTGACTCCTTAGCTGCCTGCACCGTACTTATTATGTCCACCCCAAGGAATGCTTTGTTCTTGGAATCTGCCAGGGGAACCCGGACTTCTGTTATCACTCTGTCCAAAGTGGGGGAGGGCAGGGGCAAACGTCTTAGAAAGACCCAGAGCCCCTTTGCATGCAGTACCTGGATGCTTCATGCTCTCACAGTCCCGCAGCTTGGGTTCTACTCAGAGGAGGGGGCCACTCCTGCCAGTGTTTGGGGGACTATGTGGTGCCAGGGATCGAACCTAGGGCTCCCACATGCAAACTACGTATTCCAGCCCTTTGAGCTATATCCCGACCCTGGTAATTGTTTTTTTTCATAGAGGTGACTTGGGGGGGGGGACTTCGGGGTCACATCGGTAGTACTTAGGGCTTATCCTGGCCTCCAGGGAATCACTCCTAGCAATGCTGGAGAGGGGGACCCAATGGGGTGCTAGTGATCAAACTGGGATTGGCCACGTGCAAGGCAAGCACCTTAATCCCTGTACCCTCTCTCTCGCTGGCCCTAGTGCTTATCTTCAAGTCAAGGCCTTCTGAAAAATGTATTCTCCACTCCCTTATACCAGGCCCCCACTCCTGTCCTGCATGTATCAAATACCTTCGAGGTGCCAGGGCCTGGGTTAGCTTCTCCCCCATCCTGGGGACCTTTCACAAATGGGGAATCGGAGCCTTAGGGAGCCTGTAACTTACCTGACGTGACCCAGTGGGTGTGGAATCCCATCTGGGTGCTCCAGACCCAAGACTCTCCCCTCTCCCCCTTCGCCCCACTCCCTTCCCCAGGGCCCTCTCACCCCAGTTACTCCCCACACATTCCGACTCCTTTCCGCCCACAGCGGCTCTCCTGGAGACATCTGGGGCTGGGATCCCTGAGCTGGGTCTGTGCTGGGCCCCGTGGGCTGTTGGGCAATTCCTGGCCTCTTCCCACGAGGTGCTTGAGGAACCCTCAGTTTCCTTCATTGCCTGATCCCACCCACGGTCACACCTGGGCATTGAAACCTTCCCTGGGTGGAAAGCCCTTGAGCTGACCATGCCCCCCCACCCCCACGCAGGGACTGTATGCATGGAGGCTTCGGGGCTTCTGAGTCTGGCCTGTTGAACCCTGCCAGAGTTCCCTCCAGTCGATGCTCTGCCCACTGCCTGGCAAGGCTGGGTGCCAGCCAGGCTGAGCTGGCCATAGGACATTAGTGCTTTAGGCTCTGGTACTGGGGTCTGGGTGGAGGAAAGGTCCCTCCCTTCTCAGGACAGGCCTGAGAGGCAGATTTGGGGCAGCCCAGGGTGGGGGTGGGGGGCTCATGCTCCCTGGAAGAGGCTCCCAGGGAACTCCAGAGAGTGAGGAGTACAGCGCCTGGTTGCCGCCTTCCTGAAGGTTCTCAGATGCCGTGTCTTGGACGGCTTCCTCAGCTTCTCCAGGAAACCCTGCGTCTTCCCCAGGGCAGCTGGAATCCTTTGCATGTGGAGGGGCAGGCAGGGCCTCAGTTGAGTGTCTGCTAGAAGACCTGGTCCTTTCTTCTAGAAATGTACATTTTGCCTGTAGTCTGAGGGATTTACTGATCTAAAAGTCTATCCATTGGTTCATCTTTCCATCCATCCATCTGTCCACCCAACCATCTGCTCACCCATCCATCCATCTTTTCATTGTTCCATCTGTCCATCCATCTTTCCATCCACCCATCTATCCATCCTTTCAATCATCTGTCCATCCATCCATGAATATTTCCATCCATTTATCCATACATTTCTTCCTCTTCTTTCCCTTCCTTCCCTCTTCCTTCCTTCCTTCCTTCCCTCCCTCCCTCCCTCCTTCCTTCCTTCCTTCCTTCCTTCCTTCCTTCCTTCCTCTCATTTCTTCTTCCTTCCACCTCCTTCCCTCCTTTCTCTCTCTCTCTCTCTCTCTCTCTCTCTCTCTCTCTCTCTCTCTCTCTCTCTCTCTCCTTTTCATCACTTCTGATAGGCTCAGGGGACCATATGTGGCTGCGATCGAACCCAGGGTGGCTGTGTGCACGACAAGCATCCTACTGACTAGGGAGGGTTGCCCTGTCCCTCTCGCCCCATCCATCCTTTTTCTCCCTCCTCCCTCAGCCGCAGTTAGTAGCCCCTGCCTCTGCTGACACTTCCCCTCGGGGTTGAAGTGCAGATGACATGACAGCATCTAGGACCGTCCCGCTTTTGGAGGGGGTAGCCACTCCCTTTCCTCCCAAGCCTTTGCACTAAGTCTGGTTGTACCGGAAGCTGAGGATTTACATGATGACGGGAGGGGGCCCAGGGAGGGGGAGAGGACCTGACTTTCCCCAGCCTGAGGGGGAGGGTAGGAGGGGGGCTGGGGGGTGGCAGAGATGAACCGCTTTCCCAGCTGCAGCTGCCCAGCGGGTTAGATGAATGCGGGGAGGGGGCAGTGACCTGGCAGAACCCTTTGTTCCAGCTGAGGCTGGAGCCAGGGCACTGAGCCATTCACACGCCATCCCGGGGCATCCTGCTGGGCATGCTGGGCCAGGGGGCACAGCCGCCGGTCATGGGACTTGGCCTGGCAGATCGCTGGATGTTCACCGGGACGCCCAGCTGTGTCGCAGAGGCGGGGCCTGTCCCCCCACACAGGATGGCCTCGTGCCCCCCCCCCTCCTCCTGGTCACCCTTCTCAAAAAGGATCCTAAGGAGCCCTCAGAGCCGCCTGCACTTCCTGCCCCCCCCCACCCCCATCCGGGTGGATCCTCGTCTCGGAAGTGGCTCTGATCTTTTCTTTCCTATTTCTTGCCCACTGTCCCTGGGGCCTGGGGCCTGCTCGGCGCCAACCATGCCCTCATCTCCCCTTAATTGGAGAGAGAAGGAAACAGAGGCTTCTGGGCGACACTCCAGATGTCCCCTGCACCCCTTCCCCAAGATCTCTGACCCTCCAGGGGACCTCCTCATCTTCCCCTGGGCCTTTGGTGGGTGCCGCCGTCCCAGGAAGTTCTGTCCTAACGAGAGACACAGACTGAGCGTGGTGTCAGGAGGGGTCTTCCTGCCCCAGGCATGCGCATTTCTGGGCCTCCACGGATCTCCTCTCACTGCTGCAATGGCTCTGCTGGGGCGGGTGTGGAGCCCTCTTGGGTTTGTCTTTATTTTATTTTTCTCTGTCGTGCCGGGAATCGAACCTAGGGCCTCCCATGCCAGGGCAGGTGCTCACTCCACCACAGAGCCCCGGCCCCAGCCTTACCGGCTCTGTTGCCCACCCAGGCCTTGCTGGCAGCCCTGAATGCGCTTGTGGCCGGAGCCACTTCACGTGTGCAGTGAGTGCCCTCGGCGAGTGTACCTGCATCCCCGCCCAGTGGCAGTGTGATGGAGACAACGACTGTGGCGACCACAGCGACGAGGATGGATGCAGTAAGAGCCTCTCAGGGCCCGGGATGGGAAGGAGATGGGGGGTGAGTGTGGGAGCAGGTCCAAGGCAGGCCCCGGGGTGCGGGCAAGGATGCTCCAATGGGTCCTTCTTGGCTTCAGCTGGGTTAAGGGGAGGGAGGGAGGGGGGCTCGCCAGCCAGAGCAGCCAGTGTTCATACCCTGCCTGGCTCCCATCCTCCCAAAGTTCCTGCCGATGGTCCAGTAGACAAACAGTGACCCAAGTTCCAACATCCTTGGAACTCCCTGGAGTTCCTCTCTTCTCCAGAGCTCTGTGTGTCTGTCTGGGTGTTTGCATGTTTGTCCTGGGGATTTGTGCATCTGTGTGTGGTGCTGGGGATCCAGCCAGGGCCTCCCACCTGCAGAGCCTGTGCTCTTCTCTAGACGCTCATCCCTTGCCCTATTTGTGCTTTTTTGAATGTTTTTTTTGGGGGGGAAGGAGGGTCCACACCCGGCTGTGGTCAGGGGCTACTTCTTGCTCTGTGCTCAGTGACTCCTGGCATTGCTCGGGGACTCTGTGTGGTAGAGGATGTAGACTTGGGCAAGTGCCTTAACCCCTGTACTAGCTCTGCAGCCCCTGCATTTTTTGTTAAGTTTTGTTGCCACAGCCAGTGTGCTCAGGGCTTTCTCCTGGCTCTGTGCTCAGGGATCACACCTGGCAGGCTCAGGGGATCATATAGGGTGCCAGGGATCAAATCTGGGTCGGCTGTGTGCAGGGCAAGCACCCTCCCTGCTGTACAATGGCTCCAGCCCCTGCCCTGTGCAATTTTAAAAACATGCTTACTAGGGGCTGGAGAGATAGCACAGCGGGTTAGGGCATTTGCCTTGCTGACCTGGGTTCAATTCCCAGCATCCCATATGGTCCCCCGAGCTCCACCAAGAGTAATTCCTGAGTGCAGAGCCAGGAGTAACCCCTGAGCATCTCTGGGTGTGACCCAAAAAGAAAAAAAGAAATAGTTACTAGACCCAGACGCCTATTATTTCTGTGTCTCTCACAGGGGTACTCGGGTCACATTTTTGAAGCCATAAACTTTGTAAGAAATCTTATATTCCCTCTCCCAGTCTCCCTTGCCCCGACTGGAATGCTGTCGGCCCGGTGGCCTTGGCTGTCCCGGCTGGGCTCTGTAGAAAGATTGCTGCGCTCATCGTCTGGGTACAGGGGTGCAGCCTCCAACTTGCAGCACCTGTGTCTGAGGGTGGCTAATTAGTCTAATAATAAGAATGAAGCTACCCCCAACCTGATTAACCCTAAGCAGTCAGGCTAATTGTGATGATGGTGAATAGTTGGCTTTCATGAAGCCCTTTCATATGCATTATCTCAAAAGACCTCCCGCTGCCGAATGCAATTATCCCATTGTCCTGAGAACCTCCAGCACAGAGCAGGTAACTGCCTCGCTGGCCGTGATAAGTAGTAATGAGGTCTAGTGTGGGTGCTCGCACCCAGAGGTGCCCTCCGTCGTTTAGGGAGGGGAGTGAATGCTCTTCCTCTCGCCTCTCCTGCTCTCTCTGTGGGTTCGAGTCCTTTGTTCCTCTTGCTCTCAGTAAGAGCAAGAGGAAGGGACCTGGGACCCAGCCTGGGTGGGGGCGGGAAGGTCCTTGGCACCCGGGGTGCCGGGAAAGGGTGTCTGACCCTGGGGGTCCCCGCCTGAGGAAGGATCCCAGCCTGACGCCCTTTGCCCCTCCTCTCCTGGGGCCAGTGCTACCCACCTGCTCCCCGCTCGACTTCCACTGCGACAACGGCAAGTGCATCCGCCGCTCCTGGGTGTGTGATGGCGACAATGACTGTGAGGACGACTCGGACGAACAGGACTGCCGTGAGTGTCCCTGGGGCAGGCGTTGTGGGAAGGTCGGCCCCTGGACCTCTGTTGGGGAGATGAGCCCCTGCTGGTGGCGGGGGGGGGGGGTCTGCTGGGCTCCTGCCCCTGGCGTCCCCGGCCTGCAGCGGCCTCTCGGCTTTGCCCACAGCCCCCCGGGAATGCGAGGAGGATGAGTTCCCCTGTCAGAATGGCTACTGCATCCGGAGCCTGTGGCACTGTGACGGGGACAACGACTGCGGGGACAACAGTGACGAGCAGTGTGGTGAGTGGGCGGGGGTGCCAGAAGGCTGTCATAGGAAAGTGGGGCGGGTGTCTGCCTTGCACGCAGCAGCAGACCCAGGTCTGAGCCCCGGCACCACACTGGTTCCTCCGAGCCCAGCCAGGAGTAACCCTGAGCAATCACCAGGTGTGACCCAGACACCAAAACAAATCTGCTGAGCAGCCCATCTCCCCCCCCCCAACACCCCGCCCCAGGCTCTGCTCGCCCCTGACTCTGGGGGTCCTGGCAGGGGCCGGGGCTGACTTGGGGACTGGATGGCTGGGATAGGGGAGAATGGGAGCACAGTGGCCTGTGGGGCTCCCTCAGGAGCGCGTCCCTGTCCCTCCTCCCCGCCAGACATGCGCAAGTGCTCCGACAAGGAGTTCCGCTGCAGTGATGGCAGCTGCATCGCCGGCCACTGGTACTGTGACGGGGACACGGACTGCAAGGATGGCTCCGACGAGGAGAGCTGCCGTGAGTGCCCGTTGCGGGCCCCTGGGCTCCTGGGGACGGGGAAAGGCAGGGACCAAGGGTATCTCGTCTCTAGCCTTTCTTGGCACATCACTGTTGCTGCAGTGACAGGGGAATGGTTGTGGCACCCCCTGATGGTGAGGCTTACACACGGGGTTCCTGGTTACTCGTTCCAGGGCCTGGCACACACGTGGGACTAGAGCTTGCTAGGGAAGCACAGGGGTGTCTTGGGGCCAGCCCATGTGGTGCTGGCGATGGAACCTCCGCATGTGCAGAGCTGTGTCCCACCCTGTGTGTCTCCCCACCAGAAGCAGGTCCTCAGAGGGTGACTGCTTCCCAGGTGGAAGTGGGCGTCTCCCTTTGGTCCCCCTGAACAGGGCTGCTGAACCTTTTTCCACATGTGACCCCATTCATTATATCTGAGAAACTTTTATGCCACCCCAGATATGTCAGTTGTGTAAAAAGGGGCCGGAGAGCGGTAAGCCCCTTGCCTAGCATGTGACTGTGTCAGCCGCATATGGTCCCCTTCACTGCAGAGCCCCAGAGAACCAGGGGATGAGGGGTGCTCTCCCCCACATCAGAACAGCACTTGTTTCTCCTATTTTCTTTTCTTTTTTATTATTACCGAATCACACAGCGGTAGGGCAGTTTGCCTTGCACGCAGCCAACATGGCCGACCCAAGTTCGATTCCTCCACCCCTCTCGGAGAGCCCGGCAAGCTACCGAGAGTATCTCGCCCGCATGGCAGAGCCTGGCAAGCTACCCGTGACGTAGTCAGTATGCCAAACACAGTAAAAATTGTCACAATGGAGACGTTACTGGGCCCGATCGAGCAAATCGATGAACAACGGGAGGGCCTTTACTTTACTTTTACTTTACCGAATCACTGTGAGATACAGTTACAAAGCTTTCACATTTGAGTTTCAGTCATACAATGATTGAACACCCCTCCTTCCACCAGTGCACATTTTCCACCACCAATGTGCCCAGTATCCCCCCAACCCACTCCCTGCCTCTACGGCAGACAATTTCCCCCATACTCTCTACTCTAGGGCATTATGGTTATCAGCACTTATTTCAAAACCATTTTTCTCTGCCCACCCCCATCCAATGACACGACCCCCTAGGGGCTCACAACCCCCAGTTGGAGTAGCCGGGCTCCTGGGGGTAGATGGGTAGTAGAATCTACCAGGGTGCTGGTGCTGGCCTTGCATGGGGGCTGACCTGGGTTCAGTCCAAGCTTTACCGGAAGTGATCCCTAAGCACAGAGCCAGGAGTAAGTCCTGAATACCACCAGGTGTGGCCAAGCTCCTGGATAGGGGGCGTCTCCTCTAAAGCCCCCCCACCAGAGGCCATCTCACTGGTGTGGTTGCTGGTGGAGATGCCGCCCCAGCATCTCGCCCTGTGGAGGAGTCACCTTGCTGCTCCCCCCACCCGGTGCTGAGCGCATGCCTGGTTGCCCTCCAGCCTCGGCAGTGCCCGCGCCCCCTTGCAACCTGGAGGAGTTCCAGTGCGCCTATGGCCGCTGCATCCTGGATATCTACCATTGCGACGGGGACGACGACTGCGGGGACTGGTCGGACGAGTCTGACTGCTGTGAGCACTCAGGCACGCGGGCGGGCTCTGGGCAGAGGCGGAGGCAGGGAGGTCAGGCAGGAGGGACTCCCGGGGGGCACAGGGCACGCTGCCAGCTGGGGCAGGAGCTCAAGGGCCAAGTTTCCGGGGGGCCTTGGTCGCTCCTGAGCTGAGAGGGAGGAGCCGGGAGGCTGTGGCTGGGCCCTTTGGCCTGCCAGGGGTCGGTGTATGCAGCCGTCGCTTGTGTTCCTCCAGCCTCCCATCAGCCCTGCCGCTCCGGGGAGTTCATGTGCGACAGTGGCCTGTGCATCAATGCCGGCTGGCGCTGTGATGGAGACGCAGACTGTGACGACCAGTCGGATGAGCGCAACTGCAGTAAGTGGGGGCGTCGCCCGAGAGCTGGGGGTGGTAGGGGGGCTGTGAAGTCAGAGAGGGCACCTCCCTGAGGATACGACTCGAGGACAGAGTGGGCAGGCGCCCCACGGATAGATGCTCTGGCCCAAGGCTTGCAGGTCACATGAGGCTTTTTCTCTGCTCCAGCCACCACGAGGTATCGGTGCTCCCCAGGACAGCTTTCCAGCAGGTGGCACTAAAGTGTCTCCCAGAAAGGCCCGCTTTCCAACACAGGTGCCCGTCTGAGGGCTGGAGGGCAAGTCCAGTGGGCAAGACACTTGCCTTGCACACACTCACCTGGATTCCATCCCCAGCTGCTCCCCTGAGCCCAGGAGTGGTCCCTGAGCACAGAGCCAGGAGTAAACCCTGAGCCCTGCCAGGTGTGGCCCCCAAACAAAAACAAAAATAAACTAGCCCTGAAACACTGACCACAGGCAGGAATTTCGTGGGTGCTGGTCGTGCAGCTTTGGGCGACAGGTTGGAGCTTCGCCCCGGAAAGGGACCGGCCTTTCACTCGCCCTGTGCTTTGTCTCAGCCACCTCCATGTGCACGGCCGAACAGTTCCGCTGTCGCTCGGGCCGCTGCGTCCGCCTGTCCTGGCGCTGTGACGGGGAGGACGATTGTGCCGACAACAGCGATGAAGAGAACTGTGAGAACACAGGTGTGGTCTCCCGGGGCCGCCCCCTACCCCTGCCCCCTAGCCTTGAGTGGGGGTGGCCAAGAAGGGGTTAACTGCAGTGTCACCTGTGGGCTACGGCGCTGCTTTTTCCCGGCCTGTCTGTCTGTCCACCTACCCCTATTGTCCTTGGACCTGGGAATCTCAGTTCTGTATGGAACTCTCAAACAGACATGGCCCGCGGCCATCAAGGACAGGCTGGGACTGTGGGGTCCCCTTATCCACCCCTTAGCATCGCCCTTTGCTGGGCGCACGTCTACACCCCATCCTCCGTGCCCCCGGTCCTCCCCATTCCACTTTGGCATCCTGGGGAGAAACCGGGAAAGCAGACGTGGGGCCAAGCCCTGTCTGAGCTGTTTCCTGCCCGGGACCCCAGTTCCTCCCACCTTGTGTGTCAGCCCTGTCCAGTTCGCCCGGGAAATGACAGGCTCCTATCCTGGTGCTGACCCCACTGTGCCCTGACTCTCCCAACCGCCTTCTCTCCCCAGGGAGCCCCCAGTGTGCCTCCGACCAGTTCCTGTGTTGGAACGGGCGCTGCATTGGGCAGAGGAAACTGTGCAACGGGGTGAATGACTGCGGTGACAACAGTGACGAAAGTCCGCCACAGAACTGCCGTGAGTGTCCCTGCAGGCGGGCCGGCCCGTGGTCTGCGGCTGCACCCCACCCAGAGGGTTCAAAGAGAGTTCCTCCCCGGGGCCACCGACAGCCCAGGGAGCTGTTCTTCGTGGTCCAGGTGGAATGCCAAGTTGGCGGTCTGGGGGCAGGATTCTGGGCTCAACTCCCATCTCTGCTTTGGCTGGCACAGGGCCGCGGACGGGCGAGGAGAACTGCGGCGTTAACAATGGTGGCTGTGCCCAGAAGTGCCAGATGGTGCGGGGGGCGGTGCAGTGTACCTGCCACACGGGCTATCGGCTCTCAGAGGATGGGCGCACCTGCCAGGGTGAGTGTGGGGCCGCGCTGGTCTTTGTCTTCCCCCCTCACCACAACCCTTGCCTCTTATTTTTCTCAGTGAAACCGTGGGAGGTGGGAGCCCAACCCTCCCATTTCACAGCTGGGGAAACTGACGCTCAGAGGGCAAGTCCCTTCCTAAAGGCCACAGAGTGGGGTGGGGCAGAGCAGAGTTGGGGATTCCTGCCCAGACTGGGCATGATCTCGGAGTCCCTTGGTCAGGCAGTTTTCCCACGAGGTCAGGAGGGGAGCAGCGCCTGGCAGGGTTTGGCAGGAGGGCAGGAGGACCATTCGCCCTCCTGGCCTCCGGGGGGCGCTGTCCTGACTGCCTACTTCCCTGCAGATGTGAATGAGTGCGCTGAGGAGGGCTACTGCAGCCAAGGTTGCACCAACAGCGAAGGCGCCTTCCAGTGCTGGTGCGAAGCCGGCTACGAGCTCCGGCCTGACCGACGCAGCTGCAAGGCCCTGGGTAAGGGTGTGGCTGTAGGAGGTGGGGGTCAGACCGTGGAGACCCTGGTTGGGGTGAAGCTGGGGGCGTTGGTGCCTTCCGGGTGCAGCAGCATCGGGGAGAGTGGGAGGGGCCTGGGAGGATGAGGGCGGGGTCCTTTGGAGGCTCCCCCTTTTTTCGGAGCCAGAGGCTGACGGCTCAGGTCAGGCCCTAGTGAGCTAGGGGCCCCACCACCTGTCAGTCAGGGCGCTGGGAGGTGCCAGCTCTGGAGTCCAGCGGGACCCCCCATTTCTGTGCCGTGCCCCAGGGCCGGAGCCGGTGCTACTGTTCGCCAATCGCATCGACATCCGGCAGGTGCTGCCGCACCGCTCCGAGTACACGCTGCTGCTCAACGACCTGGAGAACGCCATCGCCCTAGATTTCCACCACCGGCGCGAGCTGGTCTTCTGGTCCGACGTCACCCTGGACCGCATCCTCCGGGCCAACCTCAACGGCAGCAATGTGGAGGAGGTGGTGTCCACGGGGCTGGAGAGTCCAGGTAGGGAGCGTGGACTCTCCTGTTCCTTTCCCCCTGGACAGAGGGACTGGGCAGGGAATGGCGAGGCATTTGCAGACCTTGTGCAGCTGCACGGCTGTGCTCCCAGGCTTGGGAGGTGGGTACTAGAGAGTCCACACATTTTATAGGCTCAGATTTCTCCAGAGTGAGCTCAACCAGGGAGGATCCTGAGACCTTGTGATGAAAGTAGCAACTCAGAATCAGAGACCTGTGTGAGATGGTTTCCGTTCTCTGGCATCTAGTTTTAAGATAAACAAATATTAGGGGCTGGAGTGATAGCACAGTGGGTAGGGCATTTGCCTTGCACGCGGCCAACCCAGGTTTGATCCCCAGCATCCCATATGGTCCCCTGAGCACAGCCAGGAGTAACCCTTGTGCATCGCTGGGTGTGACCCCCAAAAAATAAATTCAGGTTGGAGAGATAGTACAGCAGGTAAAGCATTTGCTTTGTGCGCAGCCAACCTGGGTTTGAGCCCTAGCACCCACTATGGTCCCTTGAACCAGGAGTGATCCCTGAGCACAAAGCCAGGAGTAAGCCCTGAGCATCACCGGGTATGATCCAAAAGCCAAAAAATTTTGGCCCCACCCAGTGGTGGTTGGGATGTCCAGAGATTCTCGCCCAGAGCTGGGTTTGACCAGCAGTGCTCCAAGCAGTGTTTCAGGGCCTCCAGGCCCAGCCAGGGGATGCTCAGAAAACCTTTTGGGGCCCGAGATGAAACCCACAGCAAACTAGATGCATATCCATCACTTAAGCCGGGACCCCAGGCCCAGTTTCATTTGGAATTTGGTTTTCCATTGCTTACTCTTAAGAATATTCAGATTAGGGCCAATCAGATTGGGGCCAGAGTGATAGTACAGCATGTAGGGCACTCACCTTGCATGTGGCAGACCTGGGTTCAGTCCTTTGCACCCCAGATGGTCTCCTAAGCCACCAGGGGCCGCCAGAATGTAGAGCCAGGAGTAAGCCCTGAGCACAGCCTAAGGTGGCCAGGAAGTTGGCATGAGGCTGGAGAAAGAATCTAAGCCTTAGAGTGCTTGCCTTGCATCCTACCAACCCTGGTTCTGTTCCCTCGAGGTGCACCTTCAGGTGCACCTCGTGAGCACAGAGCCAGCAATAGCCTCTGCTCACCCCAAGGTCTGGCCCCAAAGTTAGTGTAGAGAACAGGGATGCAGACATTGGGGGAGCCTCAGAAGTGCCTCTGCCAACCCCCTCACTGCCCTTCCCACGATGGGCCTGTGCTCAGAAAAGCTCAGCACGCAGGCCCTGGAGCAAACGTGGTCCACAGTGGCTGTGCTGACTCATGGGCCTGGCTTTCTGCAGCTTCCGGGATGCGGGGACCCAGAGGTGTTCTGCAGCATGAGTGAGGTCACTGGGGCCAGCGGGGCTGCAAGGAATCACTACTGGGGGCCCCGCCCGGAGGAGTCCTGCTGAGTCTCTGACCAGGTGTCTCTCCCCCAGGAGGCCTCGCTGTGGACTGGGTCCACGACAAGCTCTATTGGACCGACTCGGGGACATCAAGGATCGAGGTGGCCAATCTGGACGGAGCCCACCGGAAAGTACTTTTGTGGCAGAACCTGGAGAAGCCGCGTGCCATTGCCTTGCACCCGATGGAGGGGTGAGTAAATCGGGTCCCGGGCAGCCAGGACTTTCGGCCACCTCCGGGCTATTTCCCCAGGCCCCCTGAGCCAGCTTGACCGTCGCAAGTGGGAAGCCCTCACAGCCTGGATCCCGGCACACCTGGTTATGGAGTCGTACTCTCGCGGGAACTGGCAGGGTGGGCTTGGGCTAGTTCTCGCTGGGCCTCCCTTTACTCATTTCTAATTGGCGAATTACAAGACGGTAAAAAACCTGACCTCAGAGCTGCTGAAGATCAGATGAGACTCATCTTGGTAATTGAGGTGTAATTGACATGGAGCGTTACTCTAGTTTCAGGTGTGCAGTCGGTTTTCAGGAGCTGGTATTTGTACAGGCAGGCAGTCTGAACTCAGAAAGGGTCCGATTCCGTTCCAGACCACCACAGCCGAGAGCCCGCAGTGCGTTTTTTAAAATCGCGTTTCTGGACAGGGGAGAGAGCGCGGAGGGCTGGAGTCCACGCTTGCACGTTTGTATTTGGTCTCTACGTGATCCTCGGAATACGGCTGGGAGCAGCCCCTGAGCGCTGCTGGGTGTGACCCAAACCCCCCTCCCCCAAATTATGTTTACTGGGATTGAGAATGTGGAATGCCACCACCCCTCTAAAAATACTGGGTGTCGCCCCCCGCCCAACAACTTAAATAGCATGTTTATACTACATTGTGGTCTATTAAAAGGGCAACAGAGGGCAAACAGCATCATGTTTGAAAACAATGTACTTGGGGGCTGGAGCAATGGTACGACGGGGAGGGTGCTTACGTTGCACGAGGTCAACCCAGGTTTGGTTCCCCACAACAACCCAGATGGTCCCACCAGGAGTAGTAGGTCCTGAGCACCCCTGGGTATGCCCTCCCCAAACAAACAAACAATGGACACACCTTGTAAGTGTGGCACAGACATACCGGGTGGGCCAGGCTGCTGAGATAGGGGGGTTCCACAGACCTTCAATTTGCAAAAACAAAAACAAAGGCATTATTTCTGAAGCAAAAGCAAGCTGAGCACAAGAAAAGGAGGCTTGGCCATATTGCAAAATGATCCGTTTAGCAGACACTCATTGGTATGCGGGAAAGGCACCTAGTTTGATCCTCGATACCACTTAATAACCACCCAAGCACGACCAGGAGTGATCCCTGAGTGCTGAGCCAGGTGTAACCCCTGAACACTCTGACTGGGTGTGGGTCCCCACCCCTGCCACTGCAAAAAAAAAAAAAAGCTAAAGTCACACGTCAGCATCCCTTAGATTCTTTCCCTTGTGGTGAGAACTTAGGAGGCAGAGGCCTGCTGTGCATTGCACAGGGCTCTTGCACCCAGGGCCACTCCCTCTGACACTCCACTCAGCGGGCCACATGTTTCGGTGCCCAGGATGTGGCGCTGCTAAGGCCTAGCTGTGTCCAAGGACACAGGGCCTCATCCGGGAGTGGGGCAGGCAGTGCAGCAGGCAGTGCCAAGGATTAAACCTGAGGCCTTGTGTATACCAGTTCACCCTGGCCCCTTGATGGGGATGTGTAAACACTAGAAAGGCCTTTTTTTTTCTTTTTGGATCGCACCTGGTGATGCACAGGTGTTACTCCTGGCTCATGAACTCAGGAGTTACTCCTGGCGGTGCTCAGGGGACCATATGGGGTGCTGGGAATCGAACCCGGGTCGGCCGCATGCAAGGCAAATGCCCTACCCGCTGTGCTATCTCTCCAGCTCCTAGAAAGGCCCTTAAGTGGCTTATTACGAATTAGAAACATTGCAGGTGTTTAATATTTTTAATTTTAGTGCATTTGATTGAAATGAGTGACAAAAAGTGATCATTTCCCCCCTTTCTTTTGTTGTTACTTAGATGACTGGGGCTCAGACACTTGCACACACTTGGCCATGGTCTGTGTGTGTGCTTTTTGTGGTGGCACAGGGAACCCGGAGGGCAGTGACACCTAGCTTACCCATGACATGTGGATTGATGCCAGGGATCAAACGCTTGGCCTCATGCCTGCAAATTGGGCACTCTTCTGTGCCACATTCCTGGGCCCGAATAGTAATTCATATATAAAAAAAAAAATTCCTGGAGCCAGAGCAATAGTCCAGTGGGTAGTGTGTGCTTGCCTTGAACACAACTGACCCGGGTTCGATCCCTGGCATCCCATATGGTCCCCTGAGCACCGCCAGGAATGATTCCAGGATGCAGAGCCAGGAGTAATACCCCTGAGCATTGCCAAGTGTGAGCCTAAAACCAACCCCCATCCCCCCAAAAAGAAAAAGATATCCTGAAGTGGAAGTCCCTTTAAAGATCTGCTTTGGGGACTGGAGAGATAGTACATGGGATAAAGCATGTGGCTGGCCGTGGTTCAATCCCCTGTATCACATAAGGCCCCCCAACATCTCCAGGAATGATCCCTAAAAAACATCAACAAAAAAGTTAAATAAAAATCCACTTTGGGGTTGGGTTTGTTGTTTGGTTTTTGGTCATTTTTTAGTTTTTTTTATTTTATTTTTTGGTGGTGTAGTGGGGCACACATCTGGTGGTACTCAGGGCTTATTCCTATTTCTGTGCTCAGGGATCATTCATGACTGGGTTCAGGGAATCATATGCGGTGCCAGGGATTGAATCTGGGTCAATTGCATGCAAGACAAGTGCCCTACCTATTGCATTATTGCTCCAAATCAAAATTCCTTAAAAAAAAAAGAGGTATGCCTCTAAAATTCTATGATCGTGGGTCAGCTGTTTTAGAAACTCTGTGTGTGAGGGCTGGAATGATTGCACAGCAGGTAGGGCAGTTGCCTTGCATGTGGTAGAGCCAGGAGTAAGTCCTGCGCACAGCAGAGAGAGAGAGAGAGAGAGAGAGAGAGAGAGAGAGAGAGAGATTGAGATTGTGTCTGTATCCAGAACACATACCCAGCCCTTACCAGATCCGGGTTCCATCCTCAGCACCCAATATAGTCTCTAAGCACCACCAGGTGCTCCTGAGTGCGGAACAAGGAGTAACCCCTGAATACCACCAGTCCCAAAACAAACAAAAATATCCCAAAGTGTATTAGATGAATAAATTCCCTTCTAGAGACACTTAAGTTCATGTATTTTCTAAAGCATTCTGGGTGCCACTGTGTCTATTACCAGCTGGGTTAAATAGGTAACAGCCCCCTGCCTGATTTCTACCTCGTCACCTACTCAACCGCCTTGGCCTGCCTCAGTTTCCTCTCCTCTCTTGCTAGGACCATCTATTGGACGGATTGGGGTAACACACCCCGCATTGAGGCCTCCAGCATGGATGGTTCCAGGCGCCGCATCATTGCTGATACCCATCTCTTCTGGCCCAACGGCCTTACCATAGACTATGCCGGGCACCGCATGTACTGGGTAGATGCCAAACACCACGTCATCGAGAGGGCCAATCTGGATGGGAGTCACCGAAAGGCTGTCATTAGCCAGGGTGAGGCCTTTCTTCATCTTTCATTTTGCTTCCACTGACCCCCCCGACAGGCTTGGCCAGGGGTGAGATTTGAAATTTTTTTGGGTTCTTCTGTTTTTGTTTTGGGGCCACATCCAGCCATGCTCAGGCCACATCCTGGCTCTGCATTCCTGGAATTACTCCTGGTGGTGCTCAGGGACCATATAGGGTTCAGGGGATCAAACTCGGGTCAGCCATGTGCAAGACAAGTACCCTACCGGCTGTACTATCACTCTGGCCCCCAATGATGAGGTTTGAGCAGTTGCCAGGGTTAGACCTAGCAGCTGCGTCAGGCTGGCAGGACTAAGCCCTTCCTGGACTCTCCCCAGGCCTTCCACACCCCTTTGCCATCACGGTATTTGAAGACAGCCTGTACTGGACAGATTGGCACACCAAGAGCATTAATAGTGCCAACAAATTTACTGGCAAGAACCAAGAGATCATTCGCAACAAGCTCCACTTCCCCATGGACATCCACACCTTGCACCCTCAACGCCAGCCTGCAGGTAAAAATAACTGCCTCCAACCCCCCCGGGGTGGTGAACCCCGGTGCTCCTCAAACCTTCCTGGCATCTAGGTAGGTGTTGGCTGTGGTTTCTGGTGGGGAAATTAGAAATGTCAATGACCTGGACTCCTTCCGCCCTCTGCTGGCCAGTTAGGGTGGTGCAACTCTGAACTCCTAAAGGACTCATTCCTCTTGTGGGTCCCTATTCAACCCGTGCAGCCTTTATGGGGCCTCTCCTTGGGGGGCAGACATTCCCTGTGCTTACAGCTGGGGTGATACAAAATCAAACTAAATCCCTCCTCCTGCCAGGGAATCCAGACTGTAGCTAATCCCTGCTCGCTAGCCTTGGGCATCCTTAGCCAACCTTGGGTCTTAACCTTAGCATTTCTCAACCGTTTTCCGTGACCCCCTTCTCACCTGGTTTCCTTCCTCTGCCCCCAACCCCCATCATCTTACTCATTGATCCCCTATTCTGGTGTCGTGTCTCACCAGTTAGGTGATTTTCCACCTGTGGTTCCGTGGCCCTGGGGGGGGGATGCTGCCCAGAGGAGCCCCAGTTGAGAACTGCTGTTTTACGTCTCCCTCTTGCTCTGGACTCTCTGGGCAGGCAAGAACCGCTGTGGGGACAACAATGGAGGCTGCTCGCATCTGTGCCTGCCCAGCGGCCAGAACTACACGTGTGCCTGCCCCACAGGCTTCCGCAAGATCAGCAGCCACGCCTGTGCCCAGAGTAAGTGGGTCCGGGACGGTGGCTGCCATGGGTGGGAAGGAGCAAGGGAGAGGAGTCGAGGGGTATTTCCTGGAGGGGGCTGGGAGCCAAGCTCCGCAGGTCACCCCTGGAGATAGTCCGGAGGTGACTCAGTGGTCCATCACTGGCCTTGTCTGAGGGAGGGCCTGTCTTCTTCCATCTCTGACACATAAGAAAATGCCTCTGGTTGGACACACAGTGCTGGGGTTAAATTGCTCACGCCTGACATGCGGCTGATCCTGATTTGATTCCTGGCACCATGTGGGGTCCCCCGAGTACTGCCAGGAATGATCCCTGAGCACAGAGTAAGGGGTAAGCCCTGAGCACTGCTGGGTGTGACCCCCCCCCCCAAATAAAGCAAAAAACAAAATAAGTGTTTCCATTCCCAGCACCACCATCCTCACCTCCCCCAGAAGAGAAAGCTGGGATTGGAGAAATAGTTCAGCAGGCTGGGCACTTGCTTTGCAGGCAGGAAGCTCAGGTTTGGTCCCCATTTCTACGTGAGCTCTAGGGCAGCACTGGAAATGGCCCAACAGTCCCCAAGCACTGAACCAGAAGTGAAGCCTAGGACCACTGGAAATAGCCCCCAAGCGCCCCCACCACATACACACGCAAACACACACATGCATGCACACACGCACACACGGACATGCACACACATACAGAAAGAGGCTGAGGGTTCATCAATCAGAACTTGGCAGCAAAATCTGAGGCTCCGTGGCAGCGCCACACCTGGACGCCAGCAACGAAAGCACTAAAGAGGATGCTTTCATTAGAGGCCGCACGAGGGCTACCAGACCCTTCTAGAATGGAGGCAGTCAGTGGCTTCCTGCCTCTGTACCTTCAGCCCTACTATGATCAAGAAGAAAGACTTTGAGCTCAAGAAGCAGAGAGCCAGGAGGAGGGTTCTGACGGCTGTGCACGGCAGCCCAGGATAAATTGGCCTCTAACTGCAGAAGGGGACCCTGGTGCTGCTCCGTTGGCTTCCTTTGTGCCTGAGAGTGACCTTACCTAGTTCAGAGTCATCAGGGGCCCTTCCTGAGAGTCTAGAGGGAGCCGTCAGGCATGGACCACTCATTCCTCCAGGACCAGGGTCTTCATTCTCTGTACACACAGCCACCCACCCACTTCTGATCTCTCATTAAAAGCAGACTTCTGGGGGCTGGAGCGATAGCACAGTGGGTAGGGCATTTGCCTTGCATGTGGCCAACCGGGGTTCGATCCCAGCATCCCATATGGTCCCCCAAGCACCGCCAGGAGTAATTCCTGAGTGCAGAGCCAAGAATAACCGCTGTGCATCACCAGGCATAACCCAAAAAGAAAAAAAGAAAAAAAATCAGATTTCTGGGATAAACAGAATCAGACTTCTTTATTGGGAGGAGGGATGGGGGCCATATCTGGCAGTGCTTGGGGGTTACTCCTGAAGGAGCTCAGGGGACCATGAATGTAGAGGATTGAGCCTGGGTTGACTGTCGTTAAGGCGAGCACCTTAACCCCTGTACTATCTCTCAGTCTCCAGCTCAGATTTCCGCTGGGACCTTTGCAGACAGTGATACTAGGGGCAGGATTCAGTCTGTGCCCACTGACTTCCCACATTCATTTCTCTACGTTCTTGGTGCCCAACTCTTCCCATATTGTTGGATGCAACAAGTTTCCTCCCGAACTTCCTCTTGTGGCGGGGAGGGGTGGGGGGAGTGGGGACCAGAGACCTTATAAAGCCCATGAAATCGCGTGGTCTGGAGCATGACAGCCCAGACACATATGCTTTGGGTCGGCTGCTTGCAGCCCATCTGTCTGTATTGGGTGGCCAAGAGGGACATTGGCAATATCCAGAAGCCCTTAATGGGAACAAGCTTCCCCACCCCTGCCTCCAGGGAGTCTCAGAGGTTAAAAGAGAGAGTTGGGCTCGAGCGATAGTACAGTGGGTAGGGTATTTGCCTTGCACTTGGCTGACCAGGGTTGGATCCCCAGCATCCCATATGGACCCCCCTAGCACCTCCAGAGATAACTCCTGAGTGTAGGGCCAGGAAGAACCTCTGAGCATCTCCACGTGGAGATGCCAAAAAGCAAAAAATAATAAATTTTTTTTTAAAAAAGTAAAAATAAAAGAGAAAGGGTTGGTAAAACCAGGCAGGACTTGTCAGGCAGAAAAGTATCCTGGGACATCCTGTAACAGTCCATGAGGGGCGAGGGGTGGAGAACCAGCAGGAAGGAGGGGCGTGAGCAGAGCCTCTGCCTGCTATGAGACCCAAATTCAAGTCCAGGTGCTCCGGTGCTTTAGAGCTCAGTTGTGCTGGGCCAGTTCCTTGACCTCTGCTGACCTCAGCATTGCTCAGGTAGAAAGTAAGAATAACGCGAGCAGAGGCCAGAGCAATAGAACAACGGGGAGGGTGCTTGCCTTGCATATGGCCAGTCTGAGTTCTATCCCTGCCATCCTGTATGAACATCGCTGGGAGGAACCCCTGAGCACTGCTGGGCATGGGCCCAAAATCAATAATAAAAAAAATAATAAAGCGTGATGGGGTGGGAGCCATAGTACAGTGGGTAGGGTGCTTGCCTCTCATGCTGCTTACCCGAATTCCATCCCGTAAGCCCACCAGGAGTCACCCCCGAGCATAGAGCCAGGAGGAAGCCCTGAGCATCACCAGGTGTGGCCCCAAAACAAAAACAAAAAGCAAAATAATAACAGGGTCGGGGCTGGAGCAATAGCACAGCGGGTAGGGCGTTTGCCTTGCCTGCGGCCAACTGGGGTTCGATTCCCACCATCCCATATGGTCCGCTGAGCACCGCCAGGGGTAATTCCTGAGTGCAGAGCCAGGACCAACCCTTGTGCATCGCCGGGCATGACGTAAAAAAACAAAAATAAATAAAAATTAAAAAAAAATAACAGGGTCGCCATGAAAGCCAAGGAGACGAGGCCAGCAAAGCAAGAAGCACTACTCCTGGCAAGGGGTCTCCTTTCCTATAAAACTCTCTAAAAAGAGAAATACTGTCGCACTGAGAGGAGTGAGAGGAGGGGCTCTCGAGGGCAGAGGGCCACAGCAAAAGCCCTGAAGTCAGAGAGATCCAGGGGGGCTGGGAGTTGCCCCGCTGGGGCATAGGACAGATTAGGCAGGAGAGGTGAGCAAAACTGGGGTGCACCCATCCAAATAGGCTGCCTCTCCGGGCTCTGGATAGAGTCAGTTTCTGCCGGACCCTCACAACTGATTGTCTGGTGGGGTTGCCCCGAGCTCCCGGGGGTCAGAGGTTAGAGGTGGGGCACCCCAAGGTATGACAAGGAGGGAGCAGCAGATCCCCGGAGCTGTGACTGAGCCGATGCCCCCCCCCCCCCCCAGCCTAGCGTCTATGTCTGTCACTCTTGCCGGATTTAGAGCATTAAAAGGAGACCCCTTTCGGCCTTTGATCAGGTCTTGACAAGTTCCTGCTTTTTGCCCGAAGGATGGACATCCGTCGGATCAGCTTCGACACCGAGGACCTGTCTGACGACGTCATCCCACTGGCTGACGTGCGCAGTGCTGTGGCCCTCGACTGGGACTCCCGGGACGACCACGTGTACTGGACGGATGTCAGCACCGACACCATCAGCAGGGCCAAGTGGGATGGAACCGGGCAGGAGGTACGGCCCAGCGGGGGTGCTGGGGCCGACCCCTCCCTACAGACACACACACACACACACACACACACACACACACACACACACACACACCCCTCCTGTACCTTTGCCAACCTGCAAATTGCGCCCACCGCTGGGTGCAAAGTCCAAGTGCTAACATGGCTTTGCTTCCTGCCCAGGTGGTGGTGGACACCAGTTTGGAGAGCCCCGCAGGCCTGGCCATTGATTGGGTCACCAATAAGCTATATTGGACAGATGCAGGTATGTACATACCTGCACATACATGCTGTGGTCCAGCCTCCTGGCATGCCTCATGTTTGAGATCCGGCCCCCTTCAAGGAAGGCTGTTTCTGTCCCCTGCTGCGCCCTGGGTAGCTCAGCCACAGAGAGGATGCTGGAAGGGGCCATCTGAGGATTTGGTGTTTCCCAATCCAGTGGCGAGCACGCCTAACCCATGGCTCGTGCTTGAGAATGTTTTGAGGCATTTCCGGTAAGGAAGCTCTGCCCTGTGGGTTTCCCTTCCAACCCTGTCTTGGTAGAATTGACTTTTTTTTTTTTCTGTGAGTTGGAGAGGCCAGGCCATGGGAAACCTTTCCACTAGAGTGACTCAAAGTGTTGTCCCTGGAGCCACACATCAGCTCTCTCTGCAAGCTTGCAGAAATGTGACTTCTTAAGGGCTACAGAAATAGGACAACTTGGGGCTGGAGCAATAGCACAGTGGGTAGGGTGTTTGCCTTGCACGCGGCCAACCCGGGTTCGATTCCCAGCATCCCATATGGTCTCCTGAGCACCGCCAGGAGTAATTCCTGAGTGCAGAGCCAGGAGTAACTCCTGAGCATTGCTAGGTGTGACCCCAAAAGCAAAAAAAAAAAATCAGAAATAGGACAACAGGTAGGGTGCCTGCCTTGTACTCAGGTGACTCAGCTTCAATCCCCAATACTCTGTTATGATCTCCCAAGCCCTCTGGGAGTGACCCCTAAGTGTAGAACCAGGAGTGACCCGTAAGTGTAGAACCAGGAGTGACCCCTAAGTGTAGAACCAGGAGTAAGCCCCAAGCACAGCCTGGTGTGGCTCAAGGAAAAAAAACTGAATTAAAAAACAAAAAAAACAAGAAAGAAATATGACTTCCTGGCTTTCCCCCAGACCTACAGAAGTAACATCTCCGGTGGTTAGGCTGCACCGTCTGTGCTCTGACCGGCTCTCCTGGTGTTTCTGCACATGTAGACATGTGGTCCTCTCTCAGAGGACGGAGTGGGTTGCTGGGGTTGAAAAGAGCAGATCTGGTCACTTCCCGGCCTTGCAACTCAGAATGCAGTTCACTCAATATTCCACACATGTCTACGACAAAAGAGCTCGGAGCGCTAACTGGGGGCCTGGCTCTGAGTTGGGTGTCGGGGAGTCAGGTGAATGACCGAGACTAGAGTTGATGCCATGATCACTGCTTTCTGCTAGGGACAGACCGGATCGAAGTGGCCAACACGGATGGCAGCATGAGGACAGTGCTCATTTGGGAGAACCTGGATCGGCCCCGGGACATTGTGGTGGAACCCATGGGCGGGTGAGCACCTGCCCCTCTGGTCAGACCCACCTCTCCAGCCCCAGACCTACTGAGGGGGATCCTGAGGATGGGGGGGCAGGACCGGCGATTATTGGCACTCCCATGAAGCAGGTGTATCTGGGATATCAGATAGTGGCCATCCTCCTTCCTCTGGACAAGGAGCTCTTTAAAATATATTTAGGGGGGTTGGAGCGATAGCACAGCGGGTAGGGTGTTTGCCTTGCATGCAGCCAACCCAACCTGGGTTCGATTTCTAGCATCCCATATGGTCCCCCGAGCACTGCCAGGAGTAATTCCTGAGTGCAGAGCCAGAAGTAACCCTGAGCATTGCAGGGAGTGACCCCAAAACAAAACAAAACAAAACAACAACGGGAGGACAGTGACAATGTGACAATACAATGTTATGCATTAGAAAAAAAAAAAAGAAATTTACTTAGACGTGAGGAGGGGAGAGGAAGAGAGAACATGAGCTTCTCCAGAGGAGAGAGAGAGAGCGAGAGACATGTGTTCAGCAGAGAACGTGGACCTGAGGAAAACAAGCCCAGGGCAACTATTGGTACCTGAGATGCTCAGGATCCGGAGCCCTACTGGGACTAATACCCGCCTCTCCTGTGCTCAGGAACATGTACTGGACTGACTGGGGTGCCAGCCCCAAGATCGAGCGCGCGGGCATGGATGCCTCGGACCGCCAGGTCATCATCTCCTCCAACCTGACCTGGCCCAACGGCTTGGCCATCGACTACGGCTCTCAGCGGCTGTACTGGGCTGATGCGGGTATGAAGACCATCGAGTTCGCCGGGCTGGATGGCAGCAAGAGGAAGGTAAAGGGATGCTGCTTTATCCCTATGGGTGTCGCCCCCCACCCCCGCCCCCTACAGTCAGCTCTCAGGAGTTGGGGGGGAGCTCTGCATTCAGAAATTACTCCTAGTGGTGCTCAGGGGACTCTATGGGATGCCAGGGATTGAACTCGGGTCATGCATGCAAGGCAGGTACCCTAACCACTGTACTATCTGGCCCCCCAATAGGTGATCTTCTGTTATTATCACCCAGCCCTGGGTGCCAGGCCCTTGGCCTCTTACACAGTGTGAAACATCAGACAGAGCGTTGTTTTTTGTTTTTTTGTGGGCCATACCCAAGAGTGCTTGGAGGCAACTCTCAGCTCTGTGCTGGGGCAAGGGGTAGGAGTGGGGGTCACTCCCAGTGGTATTCAAAGGACCACATGTGGTGCCAGGGATCTGGGATCTACAGTGTGCCAGGCGCTTGCCCTAACCACTGAGCCATCCCTCTAACCCAGACTCTCAGCTTTTAAAACTTGAGTTTCACAGTGAGGTTAGCTCAGTTGTACTTTTTTTTTTAAGTTTTTGGGTCACGTCTGGCAATGCTCAGGGGTTACTTCTGGCTCTGCACTCAGGATTAAATCCTGGCAGTGCTCAGGGGATCATATGGAATGTCCCTGGTCTGCCATGGGCAAGGTGGGCACTTACCCACTGTGTGATAGATCTGGCCCCTGCGTCGTATTCTGACTTAGTCCTTTTTTTTTTTTTTTTTTTTTTTTTTTTTGCTCTTTGGGTCATATCCAGTGATGCACAGGGATTACTCCTGTCTCACTCATGCACTCAGGAATTACTCCTGGAGGTGCTCGGGGGACCATATGGGGTGTTGGGGATTCAACCCGGGTCAGCCGCATGCAAGACAAACGCCCTACTCTCTGTGCTATCGCTCCAGCCCCCTGACTTAGTCTTGATAGCACTGCTCTGTATGGACAGACCTGATGAGGGGGTGACACGAATGTCGGGGTGCTGGCAGGTGCTGATTGGAAGCCAACTCCCCCACCCATTCGGGCTGACCCTGTACGGAGAACGCATCTATTGGACCGACTGGCAGACCAAGAGTATCCAGAGCGCGGACCGGCTCACGGGACTCGACCGAGAGACGCTGCAGGAGAACTTGGAGAACCTCATGGATATTCATGTCTTCCACCGCCAGCGGCCCCCTGGTGAGCAGCGCGCCCCACCCCGGGAGGTCTGGGAACCTCCTAGGCCTGCCTCTATCTTCATCCTCCCCCTTCTCCCTGCCCAGTGTCCACACCCTGCACCGTGGGGAATGGCGGCTGCAGCCACCTGTGCCTTCGATCCCCCAAACCAAGCGGCTTCAGCTGTACCTGCCCCACGGGCATCAACCTGAGGCCTGATGGCAAGACCTGCTCCCCAGGTGAGTCTGACCCCCACGCTCCCCGAGGCCACTCCCTTCCGTCCCTGCAGATGGCTCCTTTTGTGCGCTGAGAAAACTCGAGTCCTGGGGCTTCTAGAAGCTTTAGGGACAATTCAAAGATGTCAGCAAAGAGGAGAGACCCCCGGGGAGCAGGTGGGCAGGATGAGAGAGCTCCCAGCTAATTCTTAGGGAATCTCTGGTGTGTTTGGAAAAGAGGCCCTTCCCTGAACGCTTTACCTGTTAGAAGATGATGAAAATACACTGTTGTGGCTGGAGGGAATCTGAGAGATGGTACAGTAGGGAGGGCGTTTACCTTGCACATGGCCTACCCAGGTTCAATCCCCCGGCATCCCATATGGTCCCCTGAGCACTGCCAGGAGTGATTCTTGAGTGAGAGCCAGGAGGAACCCCTGAGCATCGCTGGATGTGGCCCCCAAACGAAACAAAACAAAAACCACTATTGTGGCTAGAGAGATAATACAGGGGTTAGGCCTTGCCTTGCACTCACTGGATTCAATCCCCAACACCCCATATGGTCCTCGAGCCTCTTGAGTGATCCCCGGAGTGCAGAGCTGGGAATAAACTCAGCACTGCCGGGTGTACCTCGCCACCCAGAAATAAAGCAGTAATAAGTAAATTGCACTCTTTGATTAGCACACAAAGTCCTTCAGATCCATCATTCTGTTTGCCCAAACTTGGTCTCACTGGAAAAAACGAGACCTCTTCTATGCAGTAGTATCTCCCTTCACTGTGGTACTGTTGTGAGCTGGAATAGGAGATCAGCACAGCTCCCTAGGACTACTCTGAAGCCAGCTTTAGGGAATTTGAGTGAGGGAGGAACTGTGGTAGCTCCTTGCTTGGGGCTAGGCTGTCTGTAACTGGCATGAACTTTATGGTCTGGGAACCTCCTCACAGTCAGGTTTCCATGCTTTTAATTTGGTGGGTGGCGGGGAGGGCTTGAGGGGGGTGGTTGGGTCTCACCCATCTGTGCTTACTCCTGGCTCTGCATCACTCAGGGATCACTCCTGGTGGGCTCGGAGCATCATTTGGGGTATGGGACTTGAGTCAGCCATATGCAAGGCAAGCACCCCACCTGCTGTATTGTCTCTCCTGCTTGTCAGGGAGAGCAGTCATAGTCATTCTGACTGAGCCAGATGCCCGTGCTCTGTTTGACCCTTGTTATTGGCCCCATTTTACAGAGCAGAAAACTGAGGCCAGGGGCCAGAGTGATAGTACAGTGGATAGGGCATTTTCCTTGCATGGGGCTGACCCGAGTTCGACCCCTGGCATCCCATATGGTCCCTGGGACAAGCACCGTCAGGAGTAATTCCTGAGTGCAGAGCCAGGAGTAACCCATGTATAACCCACTGGGTATGACCCAAAAAGAAAAAAAAAAAGAAAGAAAAAGAAAAAAGAAAACTGAGGCCTAAATCGCTTGTCATGGCACCAGCAGCAGCAAAGGGAGCAGGGTGGGAGCATCTGTCACACACGTGCACACACACACACACACACACACACACACACACACATGCATGCCGTCTTCTCTGTGGCCGCGTTGGTGTGACTGTGTTCTCCCTTCTCTCCCCGCTGGGTAGGCATGAACAGTTTCCTCATCTTCGCCAGGAGAATCGACATCCGCATGGTTTCCTTGGACATCCCTTACTTTGCCGACGTGGTGGTGCCGATCAACATTACCATGAAGAACACCATTGCCGTTGGAGTGGACCCCCAGGAAGGTGTGAGGGGCGCTCCCTTCCCTCCTCTCCCCTAACTGCTCACAGCACAGACACTGCCCTTCTTCCTTGGCCGCTACTCTGCCCCTATTCAGACCCGGGGCCTCACGCCCTCCCCACAGCCATCCCTGTTTCTCTAGCACGTTCTTTTTGGTTGTCGGGGCATGGCTGGGGGTGGGGGGAGGGTCTTCCCGCCCTCTGCTGAGAACTACCCTGATCTTGTTTGTGGATGAGTTTGAGGTGGTAGTGGGCAGCTGGGGGTGGGGGTTGGGCCACACTTGGTGGTGCTCAGGGACTGTTCCTGGCTCCGTGTTTGGGGATGGCTCCTGGCAGGGTTTGAGGGACCGTGTGGTGCTGGGAATCGAACCCAGGGCCCCTATATGTGAAGCCTGTGCCCCTTGGAGCCAACTTCTGGGACCCAGAACAATCCTGTTTTTTTTTTTTCTGTTTGTTTGGTTGGTTGTCTTTGGGGATGTCACATGCTCAGGACTTACTCCTGCCTCTGGACTCAGGGATCACTCCTAGTGGTGCTCAGGGAGCCCTGTGGGATTCCGAGGATGCAAGTACCCTCCCTGTTATACTGTCTCTCTTGCCCCCCCCCAATAATTCTGTTTTGATAGTTGTACATTCCCCTTGGTGTCTTTTTTTTTTTTTTTGGACCATACCCGGCGATGCTCAGGGGTTACTCTTGGCACTGCACTCAGGAGTTACTCCTGGCAGTGCTTGGGGAACCATATGGGATGCCAGGGATTGAACCAGTCAGCCGCATGCAAGGCAAACACCCTACTTGCTGTTCTATCGCTCCGGCCCCCTCCCCTTGGTTTCTTCCCAAGGGGGTACCAGCTCTGCAGCGGGGTGGGCCCCTGCCAGGGAGGTGTGGGTCCAGGCTGAGCCGCCTTCCCGTTGCAGGGAAAGTGTACTGGTCAGACAGCACACTGCACCGGATCAGCCGCGCCAATCTTGACGGCTCCCAGCACGAGGACCTCATCACTACAGGTGGGCCCTGCCCCCTGCCCCCTGCCCTGGGCCCCCACATCAGCCCCTGTGCATGAAGGCACAGGCCAGCATGCTCTCCTGACTTCCTGCAGGCCTGCAGACCACAGACGGGCTTGCCGTGGATGCTATTGGCCGGAAAATCTACTGGACGGACACGGGCACCAACAGGATTGAAGTGGGCAACCTGGATGGGTCCATGCGGAAAGTACTGGTGTGGCAGAACCTCGACAGCCCCCGGGCAATCGTTCTATACCACGAGATGGGGTGAGCCCTGGCGCTAGGGCGCTGGGCGGCAGGATGGGCGGCGGATGTGGGGAGGGTGGGCCGTGGAGGAGAAACAGAACGACCGGTCAGAACACTTGGGCTGTCGCACCCACTTCTTTTAGGGACTCAAATTGTGAGAGGCCAGAAGTCAGGGGCCCTAGAGTTAGAAAGTCAGGAATTCCTTCTGCCTTTGCAAGTTGTGTCTGTCATGTTGAGCCCTATCACTGTCACTGTCACTGTTCTCCCGTTGTTCATCGATTTGCTCAAGCGGGCCCAGTAACGTCTCCATTGGAGACTTTGTTGTTACTGTGTCTGGCATATTGAATACTCTCAGTAGCTTGCCAGGCTCTCCGAGAGGGGCGGAGGAATCGAACTTGGGTCAGCCATGTTGGCTGCGTGCAAGGCAGACGCCCTACCTGCTGTGCTATCGCTCCAGCCCCATGTTGAGCCCATTATTTATTATATTTGGGGGTTTTTTTTGTTGCTGTTATTGTTTCTGTTTTTGGGCCACACGCGGCAATGCTCAGTGGTTACTCCCGGCTCTGCTCTCAGGAATTACTCCTGGTGGGTTCCGTGAAACATATGGGATGCTGGGGATTGAACCCTGGTTGGCCACGTATAAAGGCCAATGCCCTCTCTGCTGTACTATCTCTTCGACCCCATAGGCCCGTTATTTAAACCCAGCGGCCTCGCCTGTGAAGTGAAAGTGATGGGGAAATGACTTCCCTCTGGGTCTCAAGTGAGGAATAAGGGCGATCAGGCATGGAAAGAATTATTCGCTTTGTTTGTTTGTTTGTTTGTTTGTTTGGGGGCTACACCTGGCAGGACTCAGGAGGCTGCTTTTAGCTCACTGCTCAGGGATTGCTCCCCTAGCACGGGGGAACATGTGGTGCTGGGGATCAAACCCAAAGCTGTTGTGTTGTGCAGAGCAATGCTCCAGCTCCTTGCTCCATGCCCCCAACCCCAAGAATATTGTGTGTGCATGTGTGTGGTCATTTAGCTGTGTTTAAAAGTGAACTTTTCTGGGGCTGGAGTGATAGCACAGCGGGTAGGATGTTTGCCTTGCACGCGGCTGACCCGGGTTCAATTCCCAGCATCTCATATGCTCCCCTGAGCACCGCCAGGAGTGATTCCTGAGTGCAGAGCCAGGAGTAACCCCTTGCATCGCCAGGTGTGACCCCCCACCAAAAAAAAAAGTGAACTTTTCTTAGCAAAAATGTACTATAAGCTAAGTCAAAAAGCAAATTATTGTTAAAATCTATAGACCTAGGACTTGCATCCTTAATAAAGAACTCTTACAACTAACAAGGAAGAAGCCCCTAAAAATCTAAGAGAAAAATAATAAATGAAGTAGAATTAATAGATGGAGCCGGAGAGATGGTACAGCGGGTAAGGTGCTTGCTCTGCACATGACCAACCCAGATTCAATCCCTGGCATCTTATCTGGTTATCTGAGTACAGCCAGGAATGATTCCTGAGTGCAAGCCAGGAGTGTCCCCTCAGCATCACTGGTTATGACCCAAAAGCTAAAGAAAGACACAAAAATATCATAACCAAATTGAAGAACTTAACCGTTTTTAAGTACATAGTAGAACAGTTTCTCTTTTTCTTTTTTCTTTGGTTGAGGGGGTGAAGAGTTGAAACCATGCATGGTACCAAGGATGGTCTCGGATCAGCTGCATGAAGGCAGCATCTTGCCTTTGTCCTGTCTCTCTGGTCCAGCTTTAGTAGTTTTAAGTGTCTTCATGTTATTGTGGAAAAAAGCTCAAGAACTTTCTCACCCTGTATGTCTGAAAATGCTATACCAGTAGACAACTCTCCCTTTTTTGTCAAAGACTTTTAACTTTAGGGGCTGCAGAGATAACACAGTGAATAGGGCACTTGCACAGTCTCAACTTTGATTTGATCTCCGGCATCCCATTTAGACCCCCAAGTCCCTGCCAGGAATGATCCCTGAGCATCACCAGATGTGACCCCCCCCCAAAAAAAAATGATGAAAGGGGAAAAAAAACCCTATTGGGTATCATGTTCGTTCTCATGGCACACTGTTGCTATGGAAATGACCTGCTGCTTCTTCATCCCACTTCAGGTTCATGTACTGGACAGACTGGGGGGAGAACGCCAAGTTGGAGAGGTCTGGAATGGACGGCTCCGACCGGACTGTGCTCATCAGCAACAACCTGGGCTGGCCCAACGGACTCACTGTGGATAAGGCTGGCGCCCAGCTGCTCTGGGCTGATGCCCACACTGAGGTGGGCCTCCTGCCTCCACCACGTCCCAACAGCCTGGGGAGATGGGAGACGCCTGTCTTGGCCGCTCCCCCCAGGTCCCCCCCATGGTTGATTGCACCCCCTGAGAATCCCCACCCTGCCCTTCCTCTACAGCGCATCGAGGCTGCAGATCTGAACGGAGCCAATCGGCACACGCTGGTGTCCCCCGTCCAGCACCCCTACGGCCTCACCCTTCTGGGCTCCTACATCTACTGGACGGACTGGCAGACCCGCAGCATCCACCGCGCTGACAAGGGCACCGGTGGCAACGTCATCCTGGTGCGATCCAACCTGCCGGGCCTCATGGACATCCAGGCGGTGGACCGCACGCAGCCGCTGGGTGAGGAGACGCCCTTGGCGCGGGAGCCTCTGGGGTCAGGAATCTTCTGGAGCATAGAGGCCGCTGAACCCGGCAGGAGAGTGGGGCCCCTCTCCAGGCTCCAGACACGTTCCTCAGGGTTCGGTGCCCACAACACCTGTTTTCAGATAACTCCTGTGGGTTGTCCCTGCATCTTCTACTCCATCCCTGTGAGCCACAGCGTTCTCGCCTGAAAAGCAGGTGCCAGGTCCCAGGCATGCGGCTCCATGGGCTAGAGCATCTGCTTTGCCTGCAGAGAGAGACCCCAAGTCCAGCTCCCACATAGGTTCCGGGTGTGACCCTGGTGGGCCCCTATGCACTGGGGTGGCCCCCTCTTTTTGAGGTGAGGGTTGAACCCCACACCCAAAGGTGCTTAGGGCTTACTCCCCGCTCTGCGCTCACGGTCACTCTTGGTGGGGACTCAGAGGACCATATGGGATGCCGGGGACCAAACATGGGTTGTCTGCGAGCAAGGCAAGCGCCCTACCTGCTGCCCTCTCTCTCAGCCCCCATCAAAAGAGATCTCTGGTTATCTCTGGGCAGTGGAGATGTCACTCAGGGTTTGAGCACCTGCCTTGCCTAGGTGAAGCTCTGGGTTCGCTATATCCCCGGCACTGCAACAATAAGAAAATGAAAAAGCAGCGGTTGGTTTGTCCCCATGAGACAGCGGCCTTTGTAAGATCCAGACAGGATGCGAGGCTGGGTACCAGCACTCACGTTTCTATCCCTCCCGCCCCTAGGCTTGAACAAGTGCGGCTCCAGGAATGGCGGCTGCTCCCACCTCTGCCTGCCTCGGCCCTCTGGCTTCTCCTGTGCCTGCCCCACCGGCATCCAGCTGCGCGGTGACCGGAAGACCTGCGATCCCTCCCCTGAGGCCTACCTGCTCTTCTCCAGCCGCGGCTCCATCCGGCGGATCTCGCTGGACACCAATGACTACACCGACGTGCACCTGCCCATCCCCGAGCTCAACAATGTCATCTCCCTGGACTACGACAGTGGGGACGGGAAGGTCTACTACACCGATGTGTTCCTGGACGTGATTAGGTATGAGGCCCCCTGAAGCCTGCAAAGGACCCAGGCTTGCTTGTATCCCTGTCCGGGGTAGGGGTCTGGGGCTGGGGGATCCGTGCAGACCTTGCTGTCCTTGCTCTGAGCCACTCAGCAACCTAGACTGTCACTTAGAAGCCGGCACAGTCACTTTAAGATGTCATCACATCAGCGTCCCAGATATTGGGGTATTTATTTCATTAAAGACCCATGGGAGGGGCCGGAGAGATAGTACAGCAGGTAGGGCATTTGCCTTGCACGTGGCTGGCCCGAGTTCGGTCCCCGACATCCCATATGGTCCTCCGAGCATTGCCAGGAGTGATTCCTGAGAACAGAGCCAGGACTAACCCCTGAGCATCACCGATGTGACACAAAAAGCAAAAAACAAAAAAAAGACCCATGGGATAGAATGAATGTACTCATTTGTTACTCATTTGTGGGGATAGAGAAAACACAGTATGAGACTAATACCCAAGGACAGTAGAAACAAGGACCAGGAGGACTGGTTCACGGTTGGAAGCTTGTCACAAGTGGGTGGGGAGACAGGATAGAGAAGGGACCACTTTGGCAGTGATAGTTGGAAATTATCACTCTGGACAAGAACAGGGTGCTGAAAGTAGGTAAAGGGAAGATAGCCTTCCAGTACCCATATTACAAACCATAATGCCAAAAGGAGAGAGAGGTGGAGGGGAGAGAGAGAGAGAGAGAGAGAGAGAGAGAGAGAGAGAGAGAGAGAGAGAGAGAGAGAAAGAGAGAGACAGAGACAGAGACAGAGAAAGCGAGAGAGGAGACAGGCTGGGAGGGATGGGGGCAGGAGGAGGAGGGTGGTGATGGGGAGAGGGAGGGAAACTGGGGACATTGGTGGTGGAAAGTGGTACACTGGTGGAAGAACATTTTATGAAACCTGATCATGAACAACTTTGTAACTGTATCTCTCACTGTGATTCAATTAAAAAAAGAGAGAGAGAGGGGGAAAAAGACCCATGGAAGCTCAGCCAGCTGAGATACACAAACAAAACCAGACAGAGTCAGGCTGGGGACCTGGAGCCTCTTGTCTCTCTCTCCCTCGGGCCCACAGGAGCTCTCAGCATCCCAGCATCCCCGAAGACTCAGGGGAAGGACGCCAGCACTCAATCTTTAATCTATAATGTCAGCCAGGGCTCACGGTGACTCCCAGGCTCAGGGGTTCTTGCTTCTTGATTGTTTAAAAAAATAATCATAGTTTTGTTTTTTGCTTGTTTGTTTGTTTTATTTTGAGGACACACTAGAAAATGCTCAGGGGTTACTTCTGACACTATAGTCACAAATTACTCCTGACACTGCTCTGGGTACCATATGAGATGCCTGGGTGGGCCATGTATAAGGCTTTATTCACTGTACTATCTCTCTGGCCCCCCCCCCAAATTGTTGTTTTGGTAACAAGTTAACAACAGTATCAACATTTATGGTTTTGGTACGCAGTAGATACACAGCACCATCACCAGATTACCCATATTCCTTCTCTCCTTTCCACAGCTCGGTAGTCTTGACTGCAGTCACAGACCAAGGACTTGACATGGTTCATCACTGTTCTGCATTTGTTTCTCTCTAGACCACAGATGAGTGAGCTCACCCGAGCTTCATCTTGCTCCCTCTGACTTATTGACTTAACATGATACCCTCCAGTTCTATCCAAGTTGCAGCAAACTGCAAGATTTCATCTTTTCTTATGGTTGCATAGTATTCCAGTGAGATTTATTTTAAATTTTTATTAGTGAAACACTATGAGGTACAGTTGTAGACTTACAAATTTTTGTGTTTGGGTTTCAGTTATACAATGATCCAGTACCCGTCCCTCCACCAGTGCCAATTCTCCATCTCCAATGAGATTTTGTTTTTCTTTTTTATTCTTTTTTTTTTTAATTCTTGATTTTTCCCCCTACCAGCCGAGGAAAGGGATGCTCCGCCAACAGTCAAGAGGTTGGCAGAACCTCTCACACAGAAGGGTCTCTGGAATATAGAGTAGTTTAGAGATGGCCCCACTTGTTTGTGTCAGGTTCCCAGGCTGAGGGTGAACAATCTGGCTTAGGACTTAGGTAAAAATGCACTGGTGTGTCTGGAACGATAGTATTGCAGGTAGGGCACCTACCTTGTATGCAGCTGACCTGGATTCAATCCTCAGAATCACACATGAACCACATGTGACCACATATGGACCACATATGGGTTCCAGTTATGACCGAGCCCCGCTTAGAGTGATCCCTGAGCACAGAAACAGGAATCGGCTCTGAAATTTTGATAGATAATATTTTTTTTCAATTTTTGGGGGGACCCTCAAACTGTTCTCAGGGGGATTTGGAGACTACACCCCCACAACACTTGGCCTTTGGGGTGAGACAGTAGATACAGTGCTGCAGTGCAGGGCCAGGCAGGACCAGGGATTGAGCTTGGGTCTTGTACATGTCAGGTGTGCATTGCTAACCTCTCCACTGTCTTCCCAAGCCCTCAAGTTTTTTTTTCTTTTAACCTTGGCACTGCACTGAATGCCCTGTTTATCCCTGGGGTACTCCCGCTGGTGCTCTGGGGGTGATACAGTTCTGGGGATTGGTCCCACGTGCAAAGCATTCTAGCCCCCCGAGCCATCATAATACATCTTATAATCACCAGCCACAACCCTTGTCTCTTCCCTCTGGTTTCGGGGGAATTATTAACCTGATTTCTGGCAAGACAAGGGTTCAATCTGTTCATAACAGGAAACACTGGCCTCCTGAGGATTTGTTCATTAATCGTGCACATGTTTTGCGGACCTACCCCCACCCCGTTCTGTGTGCTCAGTGCTGAAGAATGTGCCCACAGTCTTGTTGCTGCCCTCTGGGAGCCTGTTGGGTTCCAGTTATGGCTGCAGGGATTAAAGGGGGCTGAGTCTACCCTGGTCTGTCGGGGTCACTCATCCAACCCCTCGGTGCTTCTTCCAGGCGAGCAGATCTGAATGGCAGCAATATGGAGACGGTGATCGGCCGTGGGCTGAAGACCACCGATGGACTGGCAGTGGACTGGGTGGCCAGGAATCTGTACTGGACAGACACGGGCCGAAACACCATCGAAGCCTCGAGACTGGATGGCTCCTGCCGCAAAGTGCTGATTAACAATAGCCTGGATGAGCCGCGAGCCATTGCTGTCTTCCCCAGGAAGGGGTAAGCTCTGGCCAGCCAAAAGGGGATCCAGGGAAGAGGGACGTGGCGGAGAGGTCCTGGCACGCTGCCTCAGAGAACAGTCTCCGGGCGCCTGCTGTGTGCGCTCAGCCTCTGGGTATCGTTCTTCCCTGCCGTAGGGCTGACATTGAGGTCTGTCACCCCTCAGGTACCTCTTCTGGACCGACTGGGGTCATATCGCCAAGATCGAGCGGGCGAACCTGGATGGCTCCGAGCGGAAGGTCCTCATCAACACGGACCTGGGATGGCCCAATGGCCTTACGCTGGACTATGACACCCGCAGGTGGGACCCCTGTCCCTGCAGCTTTCCGGAAACCAGGCAGGGATGAGGAGAGACTGGTGGAGATCAAAGCAGTGAATCCAAACAGGAGGTTCCCTGGGGGGTGGGGGAAAGAAAGGGTCAGAAGGATGAGCGGATGCGGTTCCTGAATCCAACCCGAGGTGGGTTTTGCTTTTCAGGTTCATAGATTTTTGGGGAGGTGCAGGTGGCAGTGCACAGACAACGGTGCCTAGGGTTACTCTTGGTGGTACCATGTGGCACCTTGATTGAGCCTGGGGCTCCCGCATGTTGAGGTGCCCTCCAGAACCTGAGCTAACTCTCCAGCTTGCTGTACCTGGTTTGTTTGTTTTTGTTTATTTGATTGGTTGGGTTTTTTGTTTGTTTATTTTGGCTTTTCAGGTCACACCCAGCGATGCACAGGGGTTACTCCTGGCTTTGCACTCAGAAATTACTCCTGGCAGTGCTCAGGGGATGCTGGGAATCAAACCTGGGTCAGCCGCGTACCAGGCAAATTCCCTACCCTCTGTACTATCGCTCCAGCCCTGGTTGGTTGGTTTTTATGTTCTGTGGAGTTTGGGCTGAGAGCCTTCCTTGGCACTGCATAGGGGTTACTTCCAGCTCTTTTTCAGGGTTCACTCTTGGTACTGTTCAGGGGACCATGTGGTACTGGGGGTCAAACCCAGGGCCTCCAAGATGCACACCCTGTGCTTCACCTATTTCTCCATTAATTAGAGTGTCATTAGCAAAGCATGTAGAGTGGCTGGTCACACTACTCCCAACCACTTAATGGCGGATTCTTATCCTCTCCTGATCCCATCAGACACTGAAATTGGCAACTGCTGATAAAGTGCAATTTGGATGCTAGAGCGATAAGACAGCCGGTAGGGCACTTGCGTTGTACACAACTCACCCAGTTTCATTCCCTGGCACCCGTATGGCCCTCTGAGGCCCACCAGGAGTAAGCCCTGCGCACTACCAGGGATGACCCAAAACCCAAAAAAATAAAAATCTAGTGTCTTCTAACTTGGGGAGCAAGTCACAAATCTGTCTACCTCAGAGCAACCCTCACCTCCCCAATGGACTCCCCAGCTACTCTTCAACTTCTCATCAACATGGTTTCTTTTCGGGGGAAAAAAAGTGGAGGGGGGGCTGGAGCAATAGCACAGCGGGTAGGGCGTTTGCCTTGCACGTGGCCAACCCAGGTTCGATTCCCAGCATCCCATATGGTTCCCTGAGCACCGCTAGGGGTGATTCCTGAATGCAGAGCCAGGAGTAACCCCTGTGCATCGCCAGGTGTGACCCAAAAAGAAAAAAAAAACCATGGTTTCTTTTCTTTTTTTTTTTTTAACACCGTTTCTTTTCCTGTCTTTTTTTGGCGGGGGACAGGGAGGGCGGTGCTCCAAGAACTCATGGATTCATTGAGCTTCTTGTCAGTGGATGAGAGAACTATAGTAGGAGTTAGAACCTGAGAGGTGAATAAAACACGTACCCAAAGGTAGTACAGTAGGTAGGGCACTTGCCTCACGCGTGGCCATCCTGGGTTCAATCAACAGCATCCCACAAGTGGTACTGAGAGATCATGGAGTGCTGGCAGTCGAACCGGAACCTTAACCTAATGAGGCTTCTTAAGTGCTCAGGGACAGACAGATGGCGCCGGGGCTCCCAGGGGTTCCTCGTGCCACCCTTCCCTCTTTTCCTTCCCAGGATCTACTGGGTGGACGCGCATCTGGACCGGATAGAGAGCGCTGACCTCAACGGGAAGCTCCGGCAGGTCCTCGTCAGCCATGTGTCGCACCCCTTCGCTCTAACTCAGGTACTGGCTCAGGAGAGAGGTAACAAAGCCTGCGCGATGGGCCAGTTTCCTGGGGTTCCCGGCAGCAGCCTCAGCCCTCATCACTAATGACCGAGCCTGCTAGGGTGTTGGCCGTGCACTAAAGCTGTGCTGTCCTGGATCCTGCTACCCCCCCCCCCCCCCACACACACACACACAAACACACACACACTCGTGAGCTAGCATTTGAGGTAGTGGCTCTTGCAGAATCAGCAGAGGAGCTTATGAAAGTTACAGTGCAGCATCCTGGGTCCTGGAGATAAAGAATCAGCTTTGCGGGACTTGGCCCAGGATGCACATTCTTTCAGAAAGTCAGTCTTGAGGGGTCGGAAAGATAGTACGTGGGTAGGGCGCTTGCATCACATATGCCAACCTGGGTTCAATCAACAGCATCCCACATGGTCCCCCGAGCTCTGCCAGGAGTGATTCCTGAGTCCAGAGCCAGGAGTAACCCCTGAGCATCGATGAGTGTGACCCCCAAACAAAATGAATAAACAAACATCAGTCTTGAGTTAGCTTGCTGGTGTTTATTGAGCCCCTCCCAAAAGGCCTGCTAAGTGGACACAAGTTTCAACTCACCGATTGAGGCAAGGGCAAGGCACAGAGCAGCCCAGAGTGGAGAAGGGCTGTGTCCTTATGGTCTAGGGGCAGCCTGGACAGAGCCCTAGCTGGGAGTGCTCAGATGTTCCCCCTGTGGATAAGAGCCGCAGAAGGTCCCAGCAGAGGGAAGGCACGCGCCGAGGTGCAGAAGCTGCACAGAGTTTGACTGTGAGTCAGATTTCCCTTTTTTTTTAATTTTTCTTTTGGATCACTCTGTTGAGCAGCAGGACCGGTGGATCTACTGGACAGACTGGCAGACCAAGTTGATCCAGCGTGTTGACAAATACTCAGGGCGGAACAAGGAGACAGTGCTGGCCAATGTGGAGGGGCTCATGGATATCATCGTGGTGTCGCCTCAGCGGCAGACAGGTGGGCTCCCGGTGCCTGCTCTGGCTTCCTTACCCTGGCTGGAGGTGGCCTGTCACCCCAGGTGATCAAGACAGCTGGAGGGGCCGGGGCCACAGAACAGCGGATAGGGCATTTGCCTTGCGCACGGCCGACCCAGGTTCAATCCCCGGCATCTCATAGGTCCCCCAAGCACCGCCAGGGATAGTTCCTGAGTACACAGCCAGGAGTAACCCCTGATCATCACTGGGTCTGACCCAAAAAGGAAAAAAAATACAGCTGAAGCCATTGACATCCTTTTGGTGAACGTTCCAGACTCTGACACCTTGTTAGCCCCTTCCTCTGCCATCACCGATAGTGGGGGTAACCCCTTGGACCTCTTATTTCATTTGAGAAGCATCAGACTGTGAGATCTGATTCTGTCTCAGGCCAGACACTCATCCTGCTTTGCTCTCCCCAGGAACCAACGCCTGTGGTGTGAACAATGGTGGCTGCACCCACCTCTGCTTTGCCAGGGCCTCCGATTTTGTATGTGCCTGCCCTGATGAGCCCGATGGCCGTCCCTGCTCCCTAGGTGAGTTGCCCAGTCCTGCCTCCTGGGACAGCAGAGCCCCTGGAGAGATAGGGGATCCGAGGCTACAGCTGTGTCCTTCCGGATGGCATCCCCCTGGGGGCCCTTGGGGATAATGACTGGGATAATGAGTGGGGTTTCGAATGGCACAGTTCAACATTGGCCTGGAACTTTCTAGAATGGACTGCAGGTCTCCTAATTTCCTGATTCCCGCCACTGTCTGGGCATTGATAGCCCTGGCCAGCCCATCCAGGGCTATCAATATTGAATCCAAATGCTCACTATTTATGGAATGAAGAAGGGCCTCTAATGAGGGGGCTAGGATCAGGGGGCAGAAAGGGCGCTTAGTCAGGTTCTCCACTGTGACTCCTGGGCATTTGTCCAGCTATTGGACTCCAGGAGCCCACAGCAGTTTGTTTTATTTTAACCCCCCGTCCAGTTCCTGGCCTGGTGCCCCCAGCTCCCAGGGTGACAAGCATGAGTGACAGGAATCCTGTGCTACCCAACACACTCCCTACCACCCTGCACTCCTCTACCAGCCGAACCCACCCATCCCTGGAAGAAGGAAGGTAAGTGGGTTCAATTTGTGACTGAGGGTCCGTTCATGCATGGCAAGCACTTGACCTCTGAACCCCATCTCTGGCCTGTCGCTTAATAATTCTTGATATTATCGGCTGAGGGGAGTTAGATCGCAGCGTGAGTCATCAGCCTGGCCGCGTTGGATCTGGAGATAATACTTTTTAGGAGTGAGGATGGGATAAGATTGGGTTACAACTAGTGGTGGTGCTCGGAAGACCATGCGATGCCAGGGGTCAAACCCAGCCTCCTGCATGCAGTGCATACTTTCGGTCCCTTGAGCCATCTCTCTGGCTCCCATGGAGATGCCATTTAGATTTGTAGATTGTCACAGGTGGTAGACTTTTCAGCCCTGTGGGCAGGAGACTTTCAGAGTAGCATTATTGTGGGGCGGGAGTCACACCTGGAGGTGCTCAGGGCCTGTTCCTGGCTCTGTGCTCAGGAGTGATCCTGGTAGTGCTCAGGTGACCAGATGTAGTGCCGGGATCAACCTGGGATTGGCTGTGTGCATGGCAACTGCCTTCACCCCTGTGCTGTCCCTGCTCTCAGAGATGCCTTTAATTGCCTGCTCATCAAGTATCCCCATGAAGTTACCTTCCTGCCATTTCAGCTTAGTTGTCTGAACCCTCCCTCTGGGTGTCATGCATATTCCCTTGTGAAAGAATGAAGGGGATAAAAACATTTTTTTAGGTCATTAGACCATGTGATAATCTTTATACAATGAGCTTGGCTGGTAGCTTTTTCAAACTACTCCTGGTAGTTCAGTAAGGTTTATTAATGATACCCTTAGCATTCTTCCACCCCCCAGTTCCACTTCTCAGAGGAATTCCAGAGCACAGTTTTTGCTTTTTGTTGTTGCTATTTTGGGGGGGGGGAGGGGGGGAGGTGATGGGGAGGCACACCTGTAGTGCTCAGGGCTTACTCCTGACTCCTGCCAGGTCTCTGGGGGCCATGTGTGGTGCTGGGGATCGAACCTGGGTCAAATGCGTGCAAAGCAAGTGCCTTAGATGCTATAGGAATATGCATTTTAAAAACACATTTAAACCACGCTAGACATTGTGAACAGATGAATCACAGTGTTTTCTCTGTTTTTGTTGTTTTGGAGCCATGCCTGGCACTCAGGGGTTACCCCCCTAGCTCTGCACTCAGGAATTACTTCTGGCAGTGCTCAGGGGACCATATGAGATGCCGGGAATCGAACCCCGATCGGCCGCATGCAAGGCAAATGCCCTACCTGCTGTCCTGTGACTTCAGCCCCACAGTAGTTTCTCTGCATCTCCTGTCCTGCCCTCTCCTTGCTGCTGCTGTCTCTCCCCTGCTCTGTATTCTTCATGGAAGCCCCACCCCTAGACCTTTCACCCTGTCCTCCACAGGACTCTTTCCCCCTTCTCGGAGGAGGACAAAGTTTTGAGGGAATACAGAGGCTTCACCTTCAGTTTCTCTGCCCCACAGATGCTCAGAAAAGGATGCCCGCCTGGGCCTCTGTGCACATTCCAATGAGGCCATACCTGCTGCGCCAGGTAAGTTAAGGGCTCGCCTGTTTGGAAAAGATGACGTAAAAAACCCAAGTCTCCTCTCCCAGAGACCTTCTGGAACTTTCACTGGGACTCTTGGGCTGGATGAATCCCGCTCTTAGATTAAACACAGAGAAAGTGAGTCATAACAGCATACTGATACTGGCATTTTAAGTCATACATGTGTGCACATGCACACATATGTGTCTGTGTATGTCTTTTAACCTCCACTAGTTTTGTCTTTATGTTTTAATGGAGTTTATTATTGATATGTAAGTAATGAGAAAATATAGGCTTAGAAGTTATGTGTCTTGGGGCTGGAGCAATAGTACAGCAAGGAGGGCACTTGCCTTTCATGCAGCTGACCCAACTTTAATTCCTGGTACCCCATATGGCCCCCTGAGTCCACCAGGAGTGGTCCCTAAGCACAGAGCCAGGGGTCACCCCGGAGTATCACCAGGTGTGTCCCAGAAACAAGGTTAACGGAGGGGCTGGAGGGAAGTCAGACAGGTAGGGCTCTTGCCTTGCATGAAGCCAACCATGGCATGTTCCACCCCCAGCACTGTGTGTAGTCTTTGTAGTCTTGGAGCACCACAAGTGTGATCCCTGAGCACAGAGCTAGGAAGAAGTAAGAAGTGTCTTTTTCTTTTTTTTTTTTTTTCCGCGGGAAGGGGAATGTCACACTCTGGCAGTGTTCAGACGCCCCTATGTGGCATCAGGGACTGAAGCAAGGTTACCAACCTTAACCCTTGTACTATCTCCCTGGCCCCTAAGTGTCTTACCTTCAGTTACACAACTAGTCAATTAGTCAATGGTGGAACTGGGATTTGAGATGCTGGGCTGGAGAGAGAGAGGACGGTAGGTAAGACGCTTACCCTGCTCACAGCTGACTCAGATTTAATCCCTGGCTCCTCAAAAAGAAAAGAAAGGGGCTGGAGCGGTAGTACAGCGGGTAGGGTGTTTGCCTTGCATGTGGCCGACCTGGGTTCAATTCCCAGCATCCCATATGGTCCCCCGAGCACCGCCAGGAATGATTCCTGAGTGCATGAGTCAGGAGTAACCCCTGTGCATCACCGGATGTGACCCAAAAAGGAAAAAAAGAAAGAAAGAAGGAAAGAAAGAAAGAAGGAAAGAAAGAAAGAAAGAAAGAAAGAAAGAAGGAAAGAAAGAAAGAAAGAAAGAAGGAAAGAAAGAAAGAAAGAAAGAAAGAAAGAAAGAAAGAAAGAAAGAAAGAAAGGAAAAATGAGCAGTACCAACAGTGAGAGGTTTCCTTTCAGCACCCAGAGAAGGAGGCCCCTAGCCACCCTGGGATGGTTTGAGATCCAACATCCAACAAAGGAGCCTCCATCTTCCCCCACGCCCCTCTTCATACCAACCAGAAGATCTTGGTTGGCCCCACTTATTGTCTCCCTGTGCTCCACAGGGGAAGGACTTCACGTCAGCTATGTCATCGGAGGACTCCTCATTATTCTGCTGATTCTGGTGGTGATAGCTGCTTTGATGCTGTACAGGTAACTCAGCCTCTGGGCTTCCCTAGCATGCAGGGGACCCCCCTGACGCCCTATTGTTTGCTGATCTGACCTCCAACCTACCTCATTTCAAGGCTGGTTCTCCACTGGAAGCAGAAAGGCAGGGCAGAGCGGGTTGGAGCGGTAGCTCAGCGAATAGGGCGTCTGCCTTGCACGCGGCCGACCTGGGTTTGATTCCCAGCATCCCGTATGGTCCCCTGAACACCACCAGGAGTAATTCCTGAGTGCAGAGCCAGGAGTAACCCCTGTGCATTGCCGGGTGTGTGACCCAAAAAAGAAAAAAATAAGGCAGGACAGATAGCTGAGTTCTGTCTTCCTCCCCGGTCACAACCCAAGCGTTTCCTCATTTTCTGATAGCGGCTGCCCTTGGGATGTTCTTCAGAGACTGAGATGCGGGCACATAGGAGGTTGCCTTGTGCACTCAGCAAGAGACAAAACTGCTTGTTCTGTCTTCACGTTTTCCACCACCCACACTACCTCAAACCACCCGAAGCTGGAACTGATTTTCTTTTCACATAAACATACCCTTCGCTATAACACAGATTGATATATCATGGCTCGGTAGGGAGCATCTTGGGAAGGGAGAATGTGTATTTTTCCAATTTAGAATCTTTTTTTATCTCTCTTTCTCCAATTTTCTTGTTTGTTTTGAGCCACCCCCAGCGGTGCTCAGGGCTTGCTCCTGGCTCTGTGTTCAGGGATGGTATCACTCCTGGCAGGCACAGGGGACCATATGGAGTGCTGGGATCAAAACCAGGTCAGCCGCATGCACGGCAAATACTTTATCTGCTGTACCGTCTCTCTGGCCTCATCGTTCTCTAATATTTTAACTACAGATATTTAACCACAAAATATTTGTGGTTTGCAGCAAAAGTGTAAGGATTTTGCTGCTGCTACTATGGTTCTGGCTAATAATAACGAAAACATTCATTTAGTGAATATGTATCAGTGCCAAAACACCTTGTAATGTGGTAATATTATTCCTCACTTCCTAGCTGAGGCTCTGAAGCTCAGATAATAACATTTAGCTTATGTCCACCAAGAAGCCAGCCAGTGAGACTAGAGAGATAGTACAGGAGGTAAGGAGCTTGCTTTGCAAGCAGCCAGTCCTGGTTCAGTCCCTGGCACTGAATATGAGTCATACCAGAAGTCACACCTTGAGTGCAGAGCCGGGAGTTAGCCCTGAGTACAACCAGCAACCAGATGTGGCCACAAAACAAAACAAAACAAAATCTTAGCAAGTAAATGGCAAAAATGGGATTGAAACATTGTCTTTCTGGGGAGGGGAGGTAAGGGGGTTGGCCCAAACCCCATAGTGCTCCGGTGTTACTCCTGGCACTGCACTCAAGAATTAATCCTGGTGGTGCTCAGGGTACCATATGGGATGCCGGGGATAGAACCAGGGTCGGCTGCCCTACCCCACCGTACTGTCACTCCCATCCCTGAAACATTGTCTTATCTGAAATTAGATAACCACCTGTTATTTCTAACAAATTACACCCAAATATAGCAACTTACAATGACAACCTTTATTATCTCACAATTGCAGGGGATCAAAAATCTGGGTGCCACACAGTTGGGTGCCTCTTGTCAAGTTCTCCAGGGGGGGTCGAGGGGGGGGGGGGAGAAAGTCCAGTCTTAGCAGTTAGCAGGGGCTGCAAGCGGTCTTATCTGAAGGTGCACAGGAGGCCAGGATTCCCTGCCGAGCACACTCACATCCTGCTGGCAGGATTGAGTTCCTCCCAAGCTGCAGGACTGATGGCCTCAGCTCCTTGCTGGTTGTTGTCTGGAGGTCACCCCCACCCCCAAATAGGGCAATTACAAGACAGAAGGCAACTAGAGGGGCTAGAACAATAGCAGAGCTGGTAGAGTGTTTGCCTTGCAAACGGGTTCAATTCCCAGCATCCCATATAGTCCTCCAAGCACTGCCAGCAATAATTTCTGAGTGCATGAACTAGTAGTAACCCCTGTGCATCTCTGGGTGTGACCCAAAAAGAAAGAAAAAGAAGGCAACTTGAAAAAACAGTTTGCTTCCCCTAGAGCTAGAAATAAGAGAGAGAGGGCAATCTGAGACAGAAGTTAATTTCCTTAGAATCTAATCTAGGACCAGTGGCTTTTGTGCATTCTATTAGTGACCAGTCAGTCACCCATTGCATCCCACACTCAAAAGCCAGTTCAGAAGGTGTGAGAAACAGAAGTATGGGGGGAGGGAGTCACCGGAGTCATCCAGCACACAGGCTGCACCTTCCCTAGATGTTATCCCTATAACCATTTGAACTCATTTCTCATTCCCTTTTCTCCTCAAGACACAAAAGATCCAAGTTAACTGATCCTGGAATGGGGAACTTGACTTACAGCAACCCCTCCTATCGAACTTCCACCCAGGAAGTGAAAATCGAAACAATCCCGAAACCTGCCATGTACAATCAACTGTGCTACAAGAAAGAGGTAACACTTCAAATTTGTATTCAAGGCTGTTTTGGGGGCGAGAGGGAGGTGGGTGAGTCTAGATTGTTCTATTCTAAGTACCGAACCCATTAGTAAGTGTTGATAGGCAATCCTACGTTCCATTTTGGAAAGGACAATGACTAAATGTGATTTGGGTTTCTGGAAAGACCTAGAGTCTCAGCTGGAGAGCTGGAAAGTGGGTCCCAGAAGATTTAGGTCTGGAAGGTTGTGACTGGGTGGGCACTTTGCTGCTGGGAGATGTTTCCCAGGCTCTTTCCCACCTGGGGTCGTTATTTCCCTAAAGTGGGGACTTTGCACCACTAAAAAAAAAAAAACCACAAAATTTGAGCTCCAAGACTCCTTTTTTCCCCCACTTATTTTTTTTTTTGTTGTTGTTACTGTGTCTGGCATATCGAAGCGATAGCACAGCGGGTAGGGCGTTTGCCTTGCACGAAGCCAACATGGCCGACCCGAGTTCGATTCCTCCGCCCCTCTCGGAGAGCCCGGCAAGCTACCGAGAGTATTCGATATGCCAGACACAGTAACAACAAAGTCTCCAATGGAGACGTTACTGGGCCCGCTCGAGCAAATCGATGATCAACAGGAGGGCCTTTACCTTTACCTTTTTATTTTTTTTTTGAGGGAGGAAGAGAGTCATACCTGGCAGTGCTTAGGACTAACTCCTGGCCCTGTCTCCTGCTTAGACAGATCATATAGGGTGCCAAGGAGCAAACGTGGGTCAGGTGGGTGTGAGGCAAGCTCCTTACCCGCCATATTATTTCACCAACCCAGGAACTCAATTTTTCTAACCTCTGATCCAAGCTCTGGCACTGATGGCTGGGCTGGGCTGGCTGGTTTTTGTGTTTTGTAGTTTTGTTTGTTTGTTTTTTGGCTATCCTGTTTTTTCCCCCTCAGTTTTAAAGGATATCTCTAGAATTCAGTCGGTTTGTGTGCTTTCTGTTATTTTAATTTCTTTCATTGCCTCAATGAAAAATGGTTAAATGTTTAAATATAAAAGTAGTCCCTTTTCCACAGGGAACTAGGCATGGTATTTCACATTTTCATAGCCTGATGACTTTCTCTCTCTCTCTCTCTCTCTCTCTCAAAAATCTGTAATTGGAAGTTACCTCTTATGAACTCACTCTGCTCTCTTGGCCTGTCTAGCACAGTCAAAATCAGCACTCACACCTTCAGGCTCCTAGGCTTAAGAATGCACTATAATGAGTGTATTAATATACTTTACACAATCATCATGTGCTTTTTGGATCCATGCATTCCCATATTTAAAACATTCCATGAGCTGAGGAGATAGTAGCAGACTGAACTGGGTTTAATTCCCAACACCCTCAAGCTCTCTAGGAGTAATTCTTGAGCACAGAGCCAGGAGTAACCCCTGAGTATCACCACCTCTGGCCTAAAAACCTAAAAAATAAATAAAAGCATTTCCACTATAAACCAAAACAGAACCTGCAAGAGTAGACTTCATTTTAGGGATGATAAACTCCTTAGTTAACTTTTTTTTTTGAGTTATACCTGGTGGTGCTCAGGGCTTAATCCTGGCTCTATGCTCAGGAATCACTCCTGGTGTTGCTCAGGGGACCATATGGGGTACCAGGGATCAAATTCGGGTTAGCACTGCAAGGCAAGTGCCCTACCCACTGTATCATCTCTCCAGCCCCATGTTTTTTTAAGAAAAAGATTCTTAGGTTCTGGAGCATTTGACACCCCATAAAAAAAGAACCAGAAGAAGGGACTTAGGTTAGCAGTGAAAATTATGTGACTTCTTTCTTCTGTGTATGCTTTTTTCCTCAGCAGCTCTTTCATCCTTCCGATAGTCTTTCGCCCTTTCTCTTCTGATCTCCTCCTGATTTCAGGTACCTGTTGTGTGCTCGTACAGGAAATGGTTTCCCCCAAATTGCTAGCGCCATATCCCCCACTTCTCCTTGACTTCACTGGTGTGTCTCTCTGTATTAAAGGCAATGAGTGGTCTGCTTCTTACCTTGCACTAATTTCAACTTGTAGGGTGTGCTGGATGCCCGGGCCTGTTTGTGTGCGTGTGAGCATGTGTGCCTATGCACTGTCTTGGTCTCTGTCTCTCTGCTCAATGGAGGTAACTGTCACTCGGAGGATGACAGCGTGACTCTTTAGATTGTGAGTCATCAAAGTCTCCTGCTTACTGCAGGGGCTCATCCCGGATAGGTGGTGTTGAGTTGCTACTGAAATAAAGCAGCAGTGGTAGGGCGCTTGGCAGGAACACTCTCCCAGGGACGCAATCCAAGCCACGGCCCATTTTCTCCTGGCAGAGGCGGCATCTGGCTTGGTTTCCCCCAGAAACCAGGATTGAGGCTACCCTTTGAGGAATGCACAAAGGGAGAAGCCCGAGTGGAACTGAAGGCTGTCCTTGGAACAATCCCAGGTTGCTTGGGAATAGCCCCAAGGGTCGTGGGATCAGAGCTCCAGTAAACCCCGCAGAAGTGTTGTAAGTTACAGGAATCCAGTCAGCTCATATTCAGCACCCACAGAAGAGCATTTTCAAGATTCCCTCCTGCCTGGGTCAGGGAGCTAGACTGATCCACCCTGTGTGATACCCTAAACCTCCTATGGTCTGCCCAGCAACTCCAGAGGTCACTCCTGAGCACAGATCCAGGAATAGCCCCTCAGCACTGGCTGGAATGGCCTGAGTTCTCCCCCCATACATCAAAAGAACAAGGAAAACAAACAAAAGCTACCCCTTCTGTCTAAACTCCCCAAAGTTTCTTAACAAAACTAGAAGAGAATTAAGAATAAAACAGCACAACCTTCATTAAAATCCTGAATAAACACGTTCATTTTGTCTGTTGCTCTCGGGCATGTGCACTGGCATGTTGTCCCACTGATGAACCACAGTGACAGTATGACCACAGTTCACGTGTTTTCCTGTGTTTCTGTGTGGCATGCACACGACTAATTGTCTTCTAGGCATTAATCCTTTTCCCCCTCACAGCAGATGGTGGCGGGGGTCTGGAGGTGCTAAATAACAAGGCCAAGATATCTTAGCCTGTGGACCATACCAGCAAGATCCCAACAGAGCTACTGATCTTCCTCCCCGAGAAATTACAGGAACAGTCCCCAGAACGGTGTCTCTCAGTCTCATGAACTCTGTCCACGTTACGCAGAGAGTTAGCAGGATCTTGGTGCCCTTCACACCCCTTCTTATCCACTTCCTTCCTGGAGCGCCAACTGACTATGTCTCCCTGCTCTCCATCCTAGGGTGGGCCGGACCATAACTACACCAAGGAGAAGATCAAGATAGTGGAGGGCATCTGCCTCTTGTCCGGGGACGACGCCGAGTGGGACGACCTCAAGCAGCTCCGCACCTCCCGGGGAGGCCTTCTCCGGGATCACGTGTGCATGAAGACAGACACCGTGTCCATCCAGGCCAGCTCCGGCTCCCTGGATGACACGGAGACAGAGCAGCTGCTGCAGGAAGAGCAGTCAGAGTGCAGTAGCGTCCATACCGCAGCTACTCCCGAGAGACGGGGCTCTCTGCCCGACACGGGCTGGAAACACGAACGCAAACTCTCCTCCGAGAGCCAGGTCTAAACGCCTGTGTTCCCTGCCCTCCCTGCCCGTTTCTTCTCCTTCGTGGACTCCCGGTCCTTGTGCTCGCTTAGCAGCAGGCCCTTCCCCCGGGTTTCTGCACTGCGCGCCTCCTCCCACCCCATAGCTGCTCCCAAGCCCTCCTGGGGAGCCGTCTGCGGCCAAGTCCATTACTAGCTGTACCCAAGAGAGAAGGTGCCACCTCTGAGAATTTACACCTGGACTTTACCATGAACCTTCACCTCTTGCTCCCAGACCGAGCGTCCCCTGCTCCCACCAGCTAGGCTCAGTCATGTTCCCTCATCAGTGCAGGGGTCCACTGTCCCCCGAGGGACCCTCAGAACATGCCCCACAAGAGCTGATGACTCAAGACTATGCAGTTTCCCCCTCAGAGGCGGCCTGACAACTTCTCTGAGAGAACTTGTCCAATCAGCTGGCATTGTGACTAAAAAAGAGACATGAAGGGTAGAGGCTGAGTGGAGGAATCAGCCCAGCTGGTATGGGCATTTGGGGAGCCCTTCAGCCTCACTTGTTGGTAATCTGATTGGGCTTTTCAGGGTCGCTGGGCCTGGTGGTCCTGTCCATTGCTGGTGATGGCTTATTATTCTCACTCCGAGAGTTGCTGTTTTCTCAGATCTGGGTGTGGCTCGGGATGGTCTCCCACCTATTAAAATGTCTGGGGCCTTGTTCACCTTCAGATGACCGGAGACCCCTCTCACACGGTTGCTGACTCATAGGATGTCTGGAGCCACCACTGGCCAGTAGCTTTTCTCAGTCTTCAACATGAAATAACTTGTGAGCCAGTAGCTTGAATGAACATGGGGCCCTGAGGGCTGAGTCTCTGCAGTGGCTAAGAAGTCCTGCCCAGTCCCAACTCGGCTTTCCTCTGAACTTTAATGTTCTGCCACTCTCGTCCTCCTCACTCTCTCGGATGCTAAGCACAGAGAGCCCGAGAAAGCTGCGCCAGGTGTTTTCTTAAATGAGTGGCATGCGTGGTTTAGATGTGGGACTCCCAGGGTCTAAAGGGAAATATCCAAGAGGTTGAACCCCCTGTGTCTTCTCTCAAGCGCTCAGGGATCTAAGCGAGTAGACAGCCTGTGACAAAGGGCAGGTGAAGTTCCCAGTCCGATTCTTCTTTCCAGCTAAGTGTCCCACTCATAATTCCACCTGTCACTGGGTTTGTGCTTGTTCACGGAAGGAACTTGCATCTCACGTTAGTATCAAGACAATTGAGAATACCACCACCCCCACCACACACACACACACACACACACACACACACACACACACACGTAGTCTTGGCTCTGCCCGACTTGCTTTTTCTATGATGAGGAGGCCTATACAAGATGCAAAGTGGCACACCAAACATAGCTGAGGGATGCCCTGCCACCCCGGGGCACAGACTGAGGGGAGGGGAGGGCTCCTGGGGGGAGTTTCTTGGGTGTGAAACATCTTTTTTGGTTTAGGGATTGAGGAATCAGCTGCCAGCTGTGGCAGGGAAGAGGGAGGGCAGTAGTCACCCTTCTCTGGCCTGTTCCCGGAGTCTCTGCCAAGTCCTGAGGTCTGCTCTCAGTAGCCTGGCCGGGGCCTCCACAGGGCAAACAAGCCAGGCCAAGGAGCTTTTTCTAGACACAGAATGAGAATGGTGCCATTTACACCGGGAGAAAAGGGGCACATTACAAACTTGATGGGAGGGACTCCAGGGGCAGGGGGTGGGCAGTGAAAGAAGGAGCACTTTCTCCCCCCTCCCTTCAGGGTCCTGTTTGGAAAAGTGGAGAATGTGGAAAAGTGGCATTTGCTCATTGGGCATGGGGGACGAATCTGATTGCACTTGGGCTGTTCAGAATGTAGAAAGGACATATTTGAAGAAATATCTATTTGAGCACTGATTTACTATGTAAAAAAAAAAAAAAAGCAAAATCTCTCTGTCCTAAACTAATGGAAGTGATTCTCCCCGCGCTCATGTGTAATGGTTTTAACGTTACTCACTGGAGAGATTGGACTTTCTGGAGTTATTTAACCACTATGTTCAGTATTTTAGGACTTTATGATAATTTAATATAAATTTAGCTTTTCTTAATCATCTTGCGTGGCTTGAGTCATGACTGATCATGGTAACTGCTCATTCTGACGAAATCCTGTTTGCACACACCACCCTTAAGTCTCGAGGGGATGTAGGGGATGATCAGGAAGAACACAGGGAATGGCGTTCCTGGCTGGAGCTTCAGCTCATCTGCAGAAGACAGACCATGACTAGTGTTCACTGGCCTATTTCCGAGCCAAAGAGATAGTACAGCAGGAGGATCCTTGCCTTGCACGTAGCTGACATGGGTTCAATCCGTGGCATCCCATATGTCCCCCAAGTCCTGCCAAGAGTGATTCCTGCAGAGCCAGGAGTAACCCCTGAGCACTGCCAAGTATGGCCCCAAGACAAAAAACAAAACAAAATCCTATTTTTTCTGGAGGTTGGCAATTGATTTTCTCTCTCTCTTTTTTTAAATTGAATCACCATTGAGATACAGTTACAAAGCGTTCATGTTTGAGTTTCAGTCATACAATGATCAAACACCCGTCCCTCCACCAGTGCACATTTTCTACCACCAGTGTCCCCAGTATTCCTCCCCCACCCCCTACCTCTGTGACAGACAATTTCCCTCTTTCTACTTTTGGGCATTATGTTTTGCAATACAGATACTGAGAGGCCATCGTGTTTGGTCCTTTATCTACTTTCAGCACACATCTCCTGTCCTGAGCAATCCCTCCAACCATCATTGACTTAGTGATCCCTTCTCTATCCCAGTTGTAAACTCTACCAGCTCATGAGGCAGGCTTCTAACCATGGAGCAAATTTCCTGGCCTTTGTCTCTATTGTCCTTGGGTGTTAGTCTCATATTATGTTATTTTTTCCTTCCACGGGCTGGAGTGATAGCACAGCGGTAGGGCGTTTGCCTTGCACACAGCCAGCCCGGCCGAGCCGGGTTCAATACCTCCGCCCCTCTCAGAGAGCCCGGCAAGCTACCAAGAATATCTTGCCCGCACAGCAAAGCCTGGCAAGCTCCCCGTGACGTATTCAATATGCCAAACACAGTAACAACAAGTCTCAAAAATATGGAGACGTTACCGGACCCACTCGAGCAAATTGATGAACAATGGGAGGACAGTGTTTGTTTTATTACACAAATGAGTGCAGTTATTCTATGTCTGTCCCTCTCTGACTCATTTCACTTAGCATGGTACTCTCCATGTCCATCCACTTATCAGCAAATTTCATCTTTTCTAACAGCTGCATAGTATTCCATTATGTAAATGTACCAAAGTTTCTTTAACCAGTCATCTGTTCTAGGGCACTTGGGTTGTTTCCAGATTCTGGCTATTGTGAACAGGGCTGAAATGAACATACAGGTGCAGATGTCATTTCTACTGTGCTTTTTTGCACCCCCAGGATATATTCCCAGAAGTAGTATTGCTGAGTCATATCGGAGCTCAATTTCTAGTTTTTCTAAGAAATGCCCATATTGATTTCCAAAAAGGCTGAACCAGTCAGCATTCCCTCATCTGCAAACAGGCTTCCTTTTGAGTGTCAACTCTGATTGGTAGGTGATAGCTGTCCATATGCAATGGGGAAAGTCTCATGATCATTAAAGACATTTTCAGTCATCTAAAGGACATGCCATGTATAACCACCTGTCTTTTGTTTCTGCTGTAAATCACTGAGGACTTCATGTTACAGAACTTGACTTTGCCTTGCCATGATGGTCCTTGGCAAGGCTTCTCAGTACAAGTAAGAAAAGGATTGAACTGGTACAAGGAGGGCTAGTTTCAATCTCTGTTCTGCCTCTAGCTCTGTCTGGTCTTCCTCAGGTTTCAAGGTTACTCTGAGAGAGGATCAAATGAACATTAAGTTTCCTTTTATTTTTAACCAGTTCTCTTCTCATAGCTCATCACTATATTTTAAGGCTACAATAAAAACTTGGGAAGGCTTTCTTGGGTTTTCTGGACATGGTGCCTTTCAGGGAAGTTTGGGAAGCATGGAAGTCTCAGTGTCACAAAAAGGCAGAATTGAATGTTAAAGCTCAATTGTTAATTTTTCTAAATCACAATCCATTCACAGAATAATGCTCCCATTTATCCATTCATCTTCTGCTGAGGGCCAGGCACTGCCCAAGCCTGACCAAGACAGAGTCTCACAGGGCTAAAAGACCTACAACACATACACACTCCAAAATCCCCAAATGCAAGAAAGACTAAAAGCCTCATGCTTAAATAACAAGAGATCTGAGTATAAACATAGCACATAAGTCTCCCCACTTCACTGTTTTGCAACAAAACAAGTTGAAAACCATCTTTGGGTCCACATTTTTTTGTTTGTTTGTTTTTATTTTTATTTTTGGGTCACACCCAGCAATGCTTACTCTTGGCTCTGCACTCAAGAATTACTCCTTATGGGGCAGGCTTGGGAGACCAGATAGAATGCCATGGATTGAACCTGGGTTGGCCAGGCCACATGCAAGCAAGTGCCCTCCCCACTAACCACTGTATCTCTCAGGCCCCCATTCTACTATTCTTTTTCTAAAAGTGAGTGGAGGAGGTTTGGGGCTACATCTGGCAATGTTCAGGGCTTAATTCCTAGCTGTGTGCTCAGGGGACCGTATGCAGTGCTGGGAATTCAACCAGTGTTGATCACATGTAAGGCAAGTGCTTTAAACTCTATACTAGGGGCCAAAGCGATAGTACAGCAGATAGGGCATTTGCCATGCACAGGCCAATCCTGGCTTGATCCCCAGCATCCCATATGGTCCCCCCACAAGCACTTCCAGGAGTAATTCCTGAGCATCTCTAGGTGTGGCCCAAAAGGCCAATAAACAAAAATAAATTCTATGTTATCTTTCTGGCCCCTCCACTATGTTTTGAAAACAACACACAAAAGAGAAAAAGGTTTTATAAGAGGCACAAAGCACAAGCAAAGTACGTTCTCATACATCCAGGATCTGAACAGTGATCATACTTCGAACACATCAAGAGTTTTTCAGGTAGCAAAGCAAAAACTAACTCATAAGCACAAAACATTTGCTTGGAAAACTGGAGATCTTTTTGGGAGAACAGAGTTTAGTGAACACATTTTGCCACCTTATGACCATGCACAGCCAATGTCATCAGGTTTGGCACCATCTGCATCTTGGAAGTCCCACCACCCTGTGACTGTC